ATTAATTTTTGTCAACTTTAATAAATTTTTAAACAATAATTTTTAGTAAAAGTAGAACATTTTGTAGTAATAAAACTAATACCTTCCAAATTACCTACGTACGTAAAAAAATAGGGGTTTCAAGTTAAAGTTATAGAAAATTGAGTATAGCCTAAGATAAACTATGACATTTAGAAAAATTCTGCAAAACTGCAAAAAATACAAATATAAATCTTAAAACAGCAATGTTTTAAATTGTTCCTAACCTTTTTATTTTTATTTAATATAAAATTCGTGGTTCATTGTCAATTTTTTGCTCTTTTTTTAGCCGCTAATAAATCTGAATATAAATACGATTTTTGTGTAGTAAATAAAAATTAATGGAAGTTCACTTGGTTTTGATGTGGTAGGGAAATCAAACTAAGCATTAATTTCATATTGTTTATTTTATTGTTTAAATACATTTACATTTTTTATTAATTAACACTTTTCTTCTCTAATTTTACTTTGACGCCATGTTTCGGTTTTGCAACCATACCATAAACCAAACGAACATCTTCAATTCTCTTATATTGTGAGGGTTTAAAATCGAATTTGCGTATAATTGTTGCTAAAAGTACTTTCAAAGACATCATGCCGTACTTGAAACCTAAAAAAAATCAATTTTGATAAAAATTATTATCGACAATGATTAAAAAACAAACCGATGCAATTTCTAGGACCATAACTGAACGGAATAAAGGAGCAACGATGACGATTTGCATTATTTTCGGGTAAAAATCGGTCAGGATTAAATTTCTTCGGGTCCTTCCAAAGTTCAGCTTTTTTACCAATGGAAGCAATGGGAACAAGAACAAAACTACCAGCTGGAATAGTCTTCGATCCTAATTTTACATCTTGCTCCACCGTTCTTGTAATAATTGGTACTATTGGAAGCACTCTGAGTGTTTCCTTAATCACACGTTCTAAATACTCCATTTTGTTTATGTCTTCTAAAGTTATTTCTCGATCATCAGGACCCAAAACTAATTCGAGTTCGGCCGTAACGTTTTCCTACAATTATTTATTTTAATTTTGTTTAATTTTTTTTATTTTTATCACCTGAATATCTGGATATATCCCCAAAACTATTAAAACCATTCCAATTGTGATAGCTGTAGTCTCACTACCAGTAACCAAAATTGTTTGGATTTCTTCCTCAATAGCCAATTGATCAATTTGTGAATTTGTCTCACTTGTTGTTAATAAATGATTCAGAAAACGTTTCTTCTTACAAGAATTTTCATCATCTATCCCAAATTCTTCGCTAGATTTCTTCAAATCTAAAATCTAAAATTTATTTCAATAATTTGTTAAAAAATTTCGATTATTTACTTGTTTTACGAAGGTAAACACTTCACTCGATGCTTTTTCCATTTCTTTTCCATACGTGGAACGTTTCCAAAGAAAATCAGGATGAAGCCAATAACTCAATGAACGAATTGCTAAAATATCTTCCATTCTGAAAAAAGAAATTAATAGATTTTTTTATTTTCAAACGATATTTTTCACCTTATTACTGTCTGAAGGTATTCATCCTGACCTTTAATTAAATCACTATCGACATCAGCGAGGGTCTCTAAATAAAAAAAATTATTTTGTTTCACAAAAAATGAAAATCCTCACCACACGCAATATCAAAAGTACATCTAAATAATTTCAGAAAAATATCCTCCGATTCTTTCCCACAACTCGCTTCAAGGACACAAACTAATTTATTTGCATGTTTTTGAAAAATTTCAATAAACGAATTGAGAATTTTCGGATTGAAAGTCGGATTAATAATCCTTCTTCGGTCTCTCCAAATACTCGCTACAATAAGAAAAAATCAAAATTTTCTCAAAATTTTGCAAATACTGACCAGGCGCTATCAAAAGTCCGTTCCTGAACAATTTAAACGCAAAATCGTAAAATTTCGGTTTCCCGAAACAACTGCTATTATTCAACACAATCTCAACATCTTCCGGTTTTGAGGTCACCACTAATAAATCTTTACCCAACCAGAATTTAAAAATTGATGGGCGTGTTCCAAACACTTGGATCATTCTTTTATAAAATACTGAAAACGAAGGTTTGATTGAAACAAATTTGTGATTTTTGTACCTTTTTGGCCCCCGATGAAGTAATGGGCGCTTCCGATGATGGGCCATCCGAAGGGTCCGTCTATCTTAGACCCATAATAGTATAACCATCGCCTGCTCCAATTGTATTTTATTATGAAAAAAAGGGCAAGGGCTGAGAGCCCCCAAGCTAAGGCATATGTAACGTCGGGTTGCATTGTACTGAATTTTGATCGTTTCAAAGAGCTTTCATTTATAACTGTTAAATCGTCTGTAAAAATTTCAGGAGTTGTAGTTGTCGAGGCGGATGTTTTAGTTTTTTATTTGGGTACTTGAATAACTTGAGAGAACTCGTTTTAATTATTTTTTTATTAATCAATATTATTACATTTCAGTGGAATCACCAAACAGTGCACTTTTTTTCAGGATTCATGCCGCTTCCCACCGGGCAATTGAAAGCCTCTGAAAATTCCTCCAAATTACTCATAATTCCCAAAACCCTGAATCGACTAGGCGAATGCTCATTTGTCTTGACAAGGTTACTCAAAAACTCAACCGATTCTTGACTACACCACGACTGAAATGAAATAGTATATTACATACAATTTTCTTTTTAAATACTATACAATTTTATTCACAACCGCGTTTAATAGTAATGGAGGTCAGTAATGAATACGGTGGTGAATAAAACATACTAAAAAGTTCTCAGTTACTTGAGCAAAATCCAAAAAGAACAATTTTGCATCTTTTTCCCCATCAACTTTTCTCCATGCTTGATACGCCAATTTAAGTCCGCCATTATCCGCCATATTTTCATTCAAAGTCAATTCACCATTGATATTCATTTCAATTTCTGGTACATAAAACGCGTTGAATTGGTCAATAAGACATTGTTTTTTTTTCTTAAAAGTCTCAGAATCCGAAAGTGAAATATTTAAATTATTGTGAATCCCCGAAGAATCAAAATGGTGGAGTAGCTCATGACCAAGAGTGCTACCAAATCTGCTATAGTCATAAATGAGATCATCACCTTTGTAGAACGTCGTGTGGAACATTGAAAGTGGTATTACTGCAAAAATATGATCAGTGGTGCCAACAAAAATTACTAACCACTAACGTATTCGATTGCTGGCTCTTTGCGCATAGGCGTTTACTTTAAACGGTGAGACCTGCCATCTAAAATAACAAAAATAGTAAGTTAATTTTTACACAGTTGGTAATTGTACAATCTGTGATTGTTAAACAATGCAAAAGAATAAGCTTGTTTAAAAGCTCGGATTCTTTGAGAATTCCCATAATTATCCCATTCACAAATTCCGACGTTTTCATAGAATGTATCTAGAGTCGTTGTGTTTGTGATAAACTCGGGGTATCCCAGAAAAATTTCGATATCATCTAATTTTTCAATTAGGGCATTTCGTTCGTTGTCACTAACCCAATCATTTATTATTAAACTTCTTTTGAAAGTTTTTTTGATATCGTGAAACAGTTTCACAGCCTGGAAATTAGTTTTTTTGATTGTGTTAGGTTGGTAGCAGTGTCATACATTACGTATTTTATTATTATTGAAGTGATAATTGACATAATCATGCGCAACTGCAAAACTCAGACTCGCCGAATCAATCACATCGAGAATTTTTCTTGTACAATATTCAGGCCTAAAAATTACACACTTTAATTAGGCTTTTTATCAGTTAAGATTGGTACCTGTCATAAAATTTCAACCCTAAAGCTTTGTAATACTCCTCAAAAGCGTTACGGATCACGTGACTACTTTCTGGCGCCATATGCAAAAAGGTTCGAAGAAGTAGAAAATTTTGAACGGTGTTTGGATCAGTTTGTTTGACAAGATTCAAAATTCCGTAGACAGATTTCGGGTCGAATAAATACACAACAAAGTCTTCAGTTATGTTAAGACCAGATGGCGAAAACAAGGCTTGAAAATAGTCAACCCAATTGATCTAAAATCAAAATTTTGAGTATAGGTTTTAAGTTAGAGGCCACTGACATCAATAGAGGCTCCAAATTTTGTCTCAGTCCAGTCCTGGAGTTGTCCCAACGTTAAAATATCACCAGGTGCTGTCACATTATCATCTAGAATCTGGAAACAAATCAGTCAAAAATTTTGCTTTGATCAACTTACTCCTCCTGAAAATAGTTGCGAAGCGAAAGCTTCAATCTTCTGTAACTCTTCAATTATCTCAAAATCGTGTTTTTCAGTTACTAGATATTTTATGATGTCTAGAATTAATTTTTTTAATGGATCTTCTTCAGTGTAAAGTTTTGTTTTGTATTTTTTTGCCATGTTTTTAAACGACTCTTGTAACACTTGATCGTGAGTTTTGATATGTTCAGGTCTGATCATTTTTGGTTCATTGAAACTATCTGGAATCATCTGAACCATATTTAGCAATAAATAAATTCAGATGGAAAACTTACAATTAGGACGTAATCCTCCGTATTGAAGTTTCTTACAGAAAACTCAAACATTTGTTGGACACCAAACTGGCGTGAAATTTCCCCGATTTGAGTCCAAGAGATTTTTGTTAGAGTTGTATTATCAACGAGTGGCATTCCGAATTGTTTCACAATCAAATTTTCAGGTTTTTCATAATGAGATTGTCTGTCAATATTGGTAGTATCCAGACAGGATTTATACGCCGTTTTGGCTTTTTTCAAAGCTTCAGCATCACCATTATGTATTGGAATAGACAATATGTCTAAAATTTGAAACGCAATAGTTTCAAGTTTCAAGATTTTAACTAACCTTTTCCTATTTCAATTATTGCGTTTTCAGTTGTGGTGAAAAGATCTAAAAGAGGGTCATTTGGGGGTTTTGGTTCGACGTTTTTGAAATTTCCACATGCATATTGGTAGAAGTCATCGCAAGGATCCACCGTCAAGTCTAGATACCTCTCATCTATGAAAAAATTGTGATAACTATTTTTTCAAGTTTATTATAATTTACCAAGGGCGTTGATAGTGACTAGAATCACAAGAGCTATTATTAGTTTAATCGCGTCCATCACTAGCACTAGCACTACTAAATTCCTAATGGCTATTTTCGATTAAGCCTTCTCGATAAGATAAACTTCTTGGAGATTATAGTTTGATTTTCGATCAATTAAGCATTTTTACATGATTTTTATTTTATTTTCATTGTATATAATTATCATTAAATTGCGGAAACTTGTAGATTTTTTCGATAAAAAAACTACAAAGAAAGCGCTGTGATTTGTATGAGAGTCCTTGAACTTCATCCAATTGGGTATTTCATTTTTTATCTTAAACCATCAATAAAACACTAAAATTGTAGGGAAGTTTACTGAACAACAATAAAATGAATTTGGTGACTAAACCTTTGATTGATTGATTTAGGATCTCTTATCGTTTTCTCGATCTAATCCACCTAATCGAAGATGTTTTTGTTGGAATTTTGCAATAAAAACCACAAGAAAATGAAAAATTTTATTTTACCACAATTGACATTTCTTTTCCGGGTTCATGGTACTACCAAGTGGACAATTGAAAGCTTGCGAAAATTCTTCCATATTGGATAAACTCCCGATGACTCTATACCTTTTTGGTGGATAACTACCACCAAGAATTAATGATAAAGCATAAGTTGATTCGTCACTGCACCACATCTGAGAAAAAAAAATACAGATTTGATATCACACCAAACAAAACTTTTACCGTTCCATAACCAATAAAAAACAATTGTTCCAAGGTGTAGTTGCCACTAGATTTGATTTCTTGGGTTTCTGCTAAAGTTTTAAAGGCTTTGTAAGATTCCCTTATGCCACCATTGTCAGCCAAATTTTCATTAATACAGTAGGAACCATTCACCTGGGAAAAAAATAATTTTTTGGTCACAATAGTGGTACCAACGTACGTAGTTGTCTATCTCAGGAACGTAATATTGACTGTATTGCTCTTTAAAACACTTGGTTCGTTCGTTAAACGCATCCATTGTTTGTTGGGACCACCACGATATCATAGTACCATCTTGGTCGTAATTTTTACCATTGACATCGAAACCATGGGTGATTTCGTGCCCGATAATACTACCAAGACGACTATAATCCAAAATTGGGTTATCACCGTAGAAAAATACAGGGTTGAGCATTGAAATTGGTACCACTGCAATTTTACAATTAGTACGAATGAGAAACCAGATAGAGTTTACCAATTTTGTTATTGGGACGGTTATAGTACGCATTTGCGTCAAAAGGTGATTTACCCCAACTGAAAAAAATTGGTGTTTTTTTTGTTTAGTTTGTAGTAGTACCTACAATGAACGGTCAAGTTTCCATAACTGTGTGAATTGGTACGCCTGTTTGAAGGCCCGAATTGTTCGAGCGTTTCCGTAATTATCCCATTCACAAATTCGGAAGTTTTGGTAAAATTTATCAAGGGTGTTTTTATCGTCGACAAAATCGGGATATCCAAGTAGTATCATCATGTTTTCAGCTTTTTTCAAAGCTTTATCACGTGATTCGTCCATCCAGTCAGATTTAAGTAAAATTTCTTTAAAAACTGCGCGAATATTTTCGATCATTTCTGAAACCTGAATCGTGGTTAAAATGTGGTTTTAAGACGGGAAGCCGTTAACTCTGGAGTTAGTTGTGCACATTTTTGGACTTCAATCGGAATTTATTAGAATTTTTTTGGAATTATCAGAGATCATTTGTTTTTGAAAATTACAATAAATTTCGTAGAACTAGGAATTATTTTGGAATTACAGGATTTTCAGTACCCGGAACGTATTTTCGACCATAACTCTGGAACTATTTGGCGTAGGCCCTTGTGTTCGGTACCATCGAAAAGCACCTTTAATTTTCCATCTTACAAAAAATAGTAGTTAAAAAGTTGTCAATTATTTAGAATCATGAAATATGCCTTATTAAACAGTAAAATGTGATAAAACAATAATAATAATGGGTACCAAAGTAAAAAAAAACTGCACCCCAGACTCGAACCCGCTACAACTATGATCTATTTCTAACTAACGCAAGTTAGGTTTGCTACTCGGATTTCCAACTCTAAATTATTGTCGTTAGAATGTTTTCCAAATAAGGATAAGGATAAGGAAAGTCGTGTGATGTTCACACCAGATTTATTTCCAAAAATTGGAAGATTCACAAAAAAATTTAAAAAATCTGTCGAAATCTGCCTTAAATTATACAGTGAGTTGAAAAAGTCTATGACCTTTAAAAGGTAAAATTTAAAAAAAACATAAAACTTATAAAATTGTTTGCGTTTTTTCCAAAGCACTCTTCGCAAAAACGCTTTTTCTTAATTTTGATCAGCATGTAAAATTTGAACATAACGTGTGATACATCGTTATAATCAAAAACAAAAAGACTTTTCAAATATACAGAAATTAAATATGGCGTCCATAAGAAAATCCAAAGTTGAGTGTTGTAACTCTGATATCAAGAGCGCCTTGGAAAATACGATGACAGATTTAGTTTCCTTGTAAAAAAGTGCCTTAAGAACGTTCTAGTTAAAAACGTCTAGGTCTTTTAGTTTTTGCTTGAAAAAATAAACACAAAAATTACAAATTTCCGTTTTTTTTTCCAATAATTCAAAAACTAAACATGACACATTAAATTTTCTTTCAGATTATTTTTCAGCAAAAAAATGTGCAACTTTGCCCTATGGTGGAGCTCAAAAAACAAACACACTGTATATATTTTTTATTTTACCATTTAAAGGTCACTAATGGACTCGCTGGGATACTCTGTATATCAAATGGCAAAATCCTGGAGTCGATCGGAGTTACAGTTTCTGCTAGAGAAGCAATTTTAGTTTTTTAATTTTAAAAAAAAATAAACTAGAGGTCTTACGTGAATTCTCTGACAATTTTACATAAAAGATGGTCAGTTACAGAAATAAATTTAGAATTAATATGAAAACAAGGGAATTAGCTTGAAAATACTGGTAGTTGGTCGAATATTTTTTGAGATAGGTATAGCAAATATTTTGGAAAATTAAATTGAAATTACAGAAATAAAGTTGGAATTTTAGGAATTACTTTGAAATTATAGAGATCAAACTGGAAACAATGGAATTACTGGAATTCCGGTGGATTTTTTTGGAATTGGAATTAGTTTTACACATTTTTTCAAATTAACGGCTCCTTGGTACTACATGGCTAAGGCTCGGATTATATGCACGAAAAATTCGTAAAATATGCGCATATACAGGGTGTTCGGTCCAAGTCGCCCCGGCCGATAACACCTAAACTTACTTATTTTATCTAAAACTAAATTTTCAAATAATACTATTCATTCCTGGCTTTCTTAGTAAATGCATCAATTTTTTTTGGCACATCCGGTGTAGCCAGAAATTCTATCAAATTTAGTTTTTCAAATGAAACTCCTATGTTTTTGTGCTCGAAACAATAATAATTGGCATGAAAAATACGGTAAACAACTATTTATTACATTTTACTTTATACAGGATGCGCCACAACTCACGCCCCAGAGAAAATTTTCAAGAAAGGTAAGATACCAAAAACATGAAAAAAATGTTTAAAAAATTCTATCTGCCAAAAAAATTTGCCATTAATTTTTTGACATTTGACATTTTTTTATATCTATTTAATGATACTGATGATTTTGTATATGTTTTTTTTATAGTTATTTAGTAAAGAGACAAAAATTTTGCCAATAAAAGCCACAAATAACATTAAACAGAGTTACAATTTAGCATACAGCTTCTTTGTCTCCTCTTTTAATAGCCTATAGCAAAAAAACTTGAAAAATTATTTTTCTAACAGAAATAAATAGAGTCAAAGTGCAAACTTTAAACCCTAATAACTTCAAAATTTTTATGTTTTTTTAACATTTTTTCCATGTTCCTGGTATTTTACCTTATATGGCATTTTTCTCTGGGGCGCGAGTTCTGACGCACCCTGTATAATGCACTGAGAAAACAATTTAAATTTTATAATTTTATTATCAAATTTTGCAACGTAGGCGGATTTTACTTGTCAAGGTATTCATTGCAAAGTACAATATAATAAACAATAGATTTGTCAAACTGTATCTAAGCACTTTTTTATTCACATCTTTGCTTTAAAATTAAAAATCAGGCTAAGCGACAAATTTCCTTATGAAATTCTAAGATTTAAGATGTTTTCTGATTGCACTGTGTTAAGCAAACTGTAAGAAATAGTGTCTTACCATATTTTTCATGCCAATTATTATTGTTTCGAGGAAAAAAACATAGGTGTTCTATTTGAAAAACTAAATTTGGTAACATTTCCGGCAACACCGGATGTGTTAAAAAAATTTCATACATTTATTAAGAAAGCCAAGAATTAATATTATTACTTAAATATTTACTTTTTGAAAAAAAGAAGTAAGTTTAGATGTTATCAGCCGGGGCGACTTGTACCGAACACCCAGTATATGCACGTATTTTCACAAAAATATGAACAATATATTAAGAAATATGCTTCAATATGCGTAACTTTTAACAATAAAAAATTTAAGTTGGGATAAATTTTTATCCTCGAGTACACTAAACTTTGTATTTTCGGCGTCTTGAACTGCATACGATGAACTAAAGAAAACAAATAAATTGGTTTTGCCTCAGACAAACCATTTTAATAACCATAATTAAGCCTATCTAAGAAATCTGTATTTTTCAGTAACAATTTCGCCATACCAAAAAGTATGAAATCAAACATTCTTTACTTCAACTATTTACTTTTTTGCAAATGATAAAGTACTAAAAAACCATTTTTTTCTATAATTTGAGGATTACAACTATCTACTTTATATTCAGTTTTTTTATACAGGGTGACCCAGGGGTTCGTGCACGCTCTATAACTTTTTTTCTATTCAAGTTATTTACATGATTTTTTTTAAACGATAGATCCAACAATGAGGCACGTTATAAAAATATTTCTATTCCCAAATAAGATACACAACTAAGTTACGTTTTTTAAATGAAAACCCCAACTTTTTATTACATATCTGGATTTGCCACTAAATTGTCAATATAATGCACCTTGGTTTCTTAGACTTACCTGCAATAGTTTTTGACTTATGCCAATTTATGTGTCAAAATTGCAACGTGCATAGACCCACAAAAAAATTCATAACTTCAAAACTATTCAAGACAACTTAACCAATTTTTTTCCCGTCGATTCCTTAAGCTTTAGCACATCTTTTAACAAAAAGGTAAACTGGGAGTCGATGTTTCATCGCCTACTACGATTTTTTGAAAATGACAAAATACTGAAATTGTTTCCTTTATTGTGATGTACTCCTGTTTCTATTACATTTTCATTTTATTGCAGCACATTTTTTTCAGAATTGCATAGATGTGTCGAACGATAACGGCCTACTCGATTTCTTTTTTTCAGAAAAAAAACCATCAACTTTACTTATTTTGAAAAAATCTCATAAATTTTACAAAGTAAAGTTGTTGAGCATGCACGCACCCCTGGGTCACCCTGTATATTTTTTTTTACATAAATTGCAATATGGACAAAAAAATCGCAAAAAAGCAGATAAGTCAAAAACAAAACAAAACTTCGTTTTCAAAATACGATCACATTTTTTATATTACTTTAATTTATATTAATTATTATTTTCTGGAGGCAAATGACTTAAAAAAACGCTTGATTCCATAATTTATATTCACAACAAATAATAAAACAAATTTAAAAAATAAACACTCAGCAAGATACTAATTCTTTGAGTCCGGCTTACAATTTACCGGTTGTTTTCTCTTTAATATATTATGTAATCGGATCATTTTTCTTAAACTGGCCAATTTTTGACTTGAACTGAAATTTTTAATCGGAAATTTGTGATTTGAAGAAAATATGCGCAAATATGCAGTGTTTCCCAAAATATGCACGACGTTGTCAAATATCCATTTTTTGTTTGGCTTATTTTAATCAAAAAACATTAGATATGCATAGAAAACTTACAATTTTGTTGATGTACCCCTTAATAACAAATATGCATTTTGCATATAATCCGAGCCTTATACAGTGCGATCAAAAAGTCTTTCTATCAAGTAGGCGTCCTAGTTGAGGACGTATGTTGCATGGCAGTTCGTATGTTACCTAGATGTCAAAAAATATTTTATAAAAAGTAAAACATTGAGCTAATTAAATTGAATTATTCTATGAAACGTCTCAAAACAAACTAAAATGAGATCTTGTTGGTGTTTATTCATAAAAATCGTTCACCACGGTTTCCTGTCATAATTTACATAAAAAATATTTTTACATTTCTCATTTGTCATTGTGACATTTTATCTTCTACAGACATACGTTTTAAATTTCTACGCTTGCTTGATAAACAGACTTTTTGATCGCACTGTACATGACTTACTTGAGACAATTTCTGGTTGTTGAAGTGGTACTTTTGATAGGCATATGTTACAGCATAACTGAGACTAGCCGTGTCAACAACATCTAGAATTTTCCTTGTGCAGTACTCCCAACGAGGGTACAATTGGTAGTTTTTGGCTTGGTAGTACTCTTCAAAGGCTTTGCGTGTGTCAGAATCACTGTCGGGTGCTTGGAAGAGAAAAACACGCAACAAAGCAAAGTTTTTGAGGACTTTAGAGTCGGTCTGTTTGACTAAATTGAGAGTACCGTAAATGCGTTCAATGCTTTGGTGGTATAGTTTGACCTGTGGGGTGATTTTGACCCCCGATTTGTGGAAAACTGCACCAAGGTACTCCACCCAATCTATCTAAACTTGAATTAAGAAAGAGAAAAAAACACATAAAACATACTTTTGCGTCTGGAATTTGTTGTTGCGTCCACTCTTGTAGTTGTTCCAAAGTCACTTCTGACTCTAGAGGCAAAATTGTACCATTTTGAATCTAGAAATGTGGTCATTATTGGTACAAAAATCACAATGACGTACTCCTCCCCTAGCAAGTGTTCTCATAAAAGTTGCCATTTCGTCGATTTCGGCCACAACTTCCTCGTCAGATTTCCCCGGATTGGTGTATTTTAGTAAATTTTTAGCAACAGTTTGAAGGAAAACATCAAAAGGTTGAGTAGTTGATCGTGTGACCCGATTTTTTCCAAATTTCGCAAAATCTTCTTCCAAAACATGATCGTAGCTTTGTCCCAAACTTGGTCTAAACAAAGTTGGATTGGTCAAAGTGTCCCAACTTAGTGCAATCATACTCTCATTTTGACTTTTTTGAGCCACACTGTAAACAAAAATTAGGGGAACTCCGTACTCACTAACTAGCTTTCCGATATCGTTCCAGGAGAAATTTACTGTTTTATTGGAAGTGGAGAGGAGGGGCATGCCCCCGAATTCTTCAATGGTGCGTAGTTGTGGTACCGCCACTGTATTATGTAGTTGGACATTAACGCAACTTTTGAAAGCCGTTTTGGCTTTTTTCAATGCGATGGGATCATCCTCGGAGGGGGAATTTGATAAAATTTCTGAAACTTAAAATATAGGAGCGAAAACTGGTACCAATTGAATGGTACCTCTCCCGACTTGAATCAATTCGTTTTCGAGAAGAGTGAAGTGGTCAAGGATGTTCATAGATGAAGGTCTTGGGTGGATTTTGGCAAAGTTACCACAAGTGAATTGGTAGAAGTTATCGCATGGGTTAGTTGATGGGTCCAAATAGATCATTTCTGGAATGTCTTCAAGAATCGGTTAGCAAGCAGTAAGGTTTAGCTCAAATTCGTACCATTTTCGTTGAAGTACTTTTCGGTTTTAGCACTTAGGGCACAAGTTAGAATAAAGGTTAATATTTTTAGCTTCATTATACTTTTCTTGACTCATTCAAAGTTTGGATCTTTGATTACCTCTTTATCTTAAAATTAATTCTTTTGATAAGATAAGTCACTTATTTTATCTTGACAAAGAATATCAATTAAAAATAAAGCAAGATTAAGAATTTTTTATTAATGACAAGGAAATACCTACCATTTGTATTTGTTTTCTTGTCATACTTTTTAGTACATACAGGATGTCCGGAATCTCGCGCATCTCCTTGATGATCTTGTATAATTTGTTTTTTTATAATTATTTAGTTAAGGCACAAAAATTATGCTAATAAAAGCCACAAATAACATTGAACAGAATTAGAATTTAGAATATAGCTTCCTTGTTTCCTCTTTTAATAGCCTATAGGAAAAAAACTTGGCAAATTATTTTTTCAACAGAAATAAATAGAACCAGTGCAAAATTCAAATCGTCGTAAGTAATAACTAACGAAATTTTTATAGATAATTTTTTTTACATTTTTCCATGTTTCTGGTATCTTACCTTATATGGCATTTTTCTCTTGGACGCGAGTTCTGGCGCACCCTGGATAAGCTGAGCAAAAAAAATGGTTTTTTGCTTAAAACATTAACTTTGGGATATAATTAATTAAAACGTGATAGTAAATAATAATATTGAATTCGTCTTTTTTTTCCTTTTCACCCATTAATGAAAATTTCAAGTAAGATAAGATACCAGGAGCATGAAAACAAGATACATAGAATTTTTTGAACATTTTTTTCATGTTCTTGGTATCCTACCTTAAATGGCATTTTTCTTTGAAGCACGAGTTCTGGCGCACCTGTATACTAAAACAATTTTGAGATTTTTGAAATTTTTATTTTAAAATATTAAATATTGCACTTTTTTTAGAATTTAATCAAGTTTTTAGCATCTTGATTTGTAATTTTCTTTAAGGAAATTAAGAAATGTGTATAATTTAATTACTAATAGTTTCAAATAGTTAATAAGTAAATCAAACGATTTTTTAAATTATTTGTTTATTCAGTTTATTAAATTACATAAATACTTGATATGCGCCAGAACTCGCGCCCCAGAGAAAAACGTCATATAAGGTAAGATACCAGGATCATGGAAAAAATGTTAAAAAAAATTTATGTATAAAAATTTCGAAGTTATGAGGGTTTAAAATTTGCACTTTGACTCTATTTATTTCTGTTGGAAAAGTAGTTTTCCAAGTTTTTTTGCTATAGGCTATTAAAAGAGGAAACAAGGAAGCTGTATGTTAAATTGTAACTCTCTTCAATGTTATTTGTGGCTTTTATTGGTAAAATTTTTGTGCGTTTACTAAATAACTGTAAAAAAACATATACACGATCATCAGCATCATTAAATAGATATAAAAAATGTCAAATGTCAAAATTTTTTGACAGATAGAATTTTTTAAACATTTTTTTCATGTTCCTGGTATCTTACCTTACTTGAAAATTTTCTCTGGGGCGCGAGTTCTGGCGCATCCTGTAGTTATGAATAAAAAATACTTTTTTTTTGCGAAACAACGAAGTAATAAAAGACAAATAGTAAAATACATTCCGAGGTGTAAAGTGTTTCATTTCTGTTGAAAGATTAGATTAGATGAGATGGTTGCATTGAAGCAGAAATGAAACTTTCCTTCGAATTCTCCAAACAATTTTATTCACAACTGCATATTTAATAATTTTCGTGAATAAGTTAAAAAAAATGTTCAAAAAGTTTGACTCGTCAATCGTGTAGTCATTTGTATCGTCATTGCAATGAATGTGTTAAATTGTGATCAAAATGGGACTAGAAAACGATGGTCAGTAATGAGTCAACCTTCAATACCCACTTCAATAATTATAAATAAAAAAAAATATTTTATCAGTAAATGCAAACTGTTTTATAAATGAACTTTTATATAAGATTCAATGCTTACATTAATGAGTTGCAGAATACAGAATAACCAAAAGAAAAACTTGTTAGTCAAAATAATAAACTTCAAAAACATTAGACCAAAAGTTAACAAACAAAAATTAACGATTTTTTTTTAATAAAAATGTTTTTTTCTATTTTTTTTTTTCTAATGTTTTTAATTTCTCAATTTTTGTATTTTTGTTATTTTATTTTGTATTTGGAATAAAAAGTTTTTCAATTTTTTTATTACTTTTGCACACCTTCCATTAAGGGACACCTCTCCACAACGGACAATTGGAGATTCCCCAACGGTGTCCGTTGTTGAGAGGTTTTACTGTAGATGACAAACGTGGTAATACATATGTAGTCAGAGATATATAGTCTTAATTTCTTTAATTTTTTGTTTAACAATATTTTTATTCTAATTTTAAACCTATTCAGACAAGACTTTTCATATTTTAATTTTTTTATTTTACCAGTTATTCACTCTTATAGATATTATTAACTAATAATAATATTTAATTTAATAACATTTGTAATTTCGTATTTATTCATTTTTTTTTAGTAACGTTGTATTCTTTAAAATTACTTTTAGAGTCAAAGATGTCTTAAATTTTCTATTACCCTATTTGGAAAAAATGGATCATATTCATCGTTTATATTATTCTATTTTATTTTTCCATTTTTTAATTAATTCAAAATTAAGATTTTCAATGAAAAACTTGAAAAAAGATTTGTTATTATCTCAATAAATACTTTAAAACAACAAACATTTTACGTAAACGTTTTATATACTCTTCGGAAAAATTAAGCGAAACATTTCTTAAAACAATTGGTAAAAATCGGTCGCACCGTTCGGCCGCAAAGACCAAAAGAAGATACAATAAATTCATGGGGATACAAATTATTTAGAATTATGAAATATACCTTATTAAACAGTAAAATGTGATAAAATAATTATAATAATGGGTACCGAACTAAAAAACTGCACCCCAGACTCGAACCCGCGACAACTATGATCTATTTCGCGTGTAATCCGACAGGTGGCCCTAACGCAAATGTTTCACAGTTACACTAAATTATTGTCGTTATTAGGATCTTTTCCAAATAAGTAAGATAAGGAAAGTCGTGTGATCTTCACACTAGATTTTTTATGTTCTCTGAACGTCGCTGAGATATTTGACTTTTAATGAAAAAGGATCTTTTTGTCTTTGTTCATGGATATCTCAGCAACCAATGACTGCATAGAGGATGTGAAAATAGTTTCAAACACTGAAATAAAAGTCCTAGAACATGTTTTTACGACTTTTTGAAAAAAAAATTTCTTTCGCAACATTGATTTAAAGAAACGAGAAAAATGTAACTTGTTGTAGTCTTCATCTAAATGAAAAAAAAAAAACATTTTGGTACAATTTTGCACGTTAAATTTGAAAAAAAATCGAAAAAAATAAAAGTTTTATAATTATTTTTGAAAATTTGTAAAAAAATCAAGAAACAAAACTCACTAATTTTTGAGACCATTCAATTTTTGCATAATGGAAAAACGTTGACTCTTGAAGAAATTGTGTTTTGTGGTTTTCTTAGCCGGTTTTGAAACGTCTTCGACTTTTGCTCTTTACGGACTTGCCAAAAATTAAGTAATTTAAGGTAAAGTAAGAGAAGAAATTAATACAGTTTTGAAGAAACAGGATGGGGAAATCACGTATGAGTCCATACATGTTGTTTAAAAATTGCATTTTCTTCATTTTTTTTTTCTAAAGACTTTGAGAAATAATCCCAATTTTGGGGATCCACTATAACAAGGATTATTACCCAAACCCTGAATTTTTTTTTATAAAATCTGTATTGGTAAATAAAATTTTGATTATTGTTGCCAACTTAATTTAAAAATCACTGTAATTGATAGGCATGGGATGTGGACTAGTATAGGATATGACGTGTTTTGACTTTAATCAAATTGCGTCACAACCTATCTCAAATTTGTAAACTACTCAACTCTAATCGACGATATTCATTACAAATTTAACAACAACCGGCGTGATATTGCAATTATTTAGTCTTAAACAAACGTTGAGAAAAAATGTTGTTTTCCGTTTTGGTGTGTCTTCTGGTCACAGTTTTTCTTTATTACAAATGGACATTCAAGTACTGGCAACGAAGAAATATACCATGGCTAGAACCAAGTTTACCTTTCGGTAACTTGAGTAACCCTTTCAACCGTCAAGAAAATTTAGGGATAACAGTTAAAAAATTCTACAAGGAAATGAAGCAACGTAAGTGGAAACATGGAGGAATCTTCTTTCTTGTAAGTCCAGTCTATTGTGTCGTCGATTTGGACTATGTGAAAAATATAATGAGTCGGGATTTCCACTATTTCACCGATCGTTCGATTTACTTCAACGAGAAAAACGACCCTCTTAGTGCCCATTTGTTCGCAATCGGGGGTCAAAAATGGCGCAATTTGCGAACTAAACTAACCCCGACTTTCACTTCCGGTAAAATGAAGCAAATGTTTCACACATTGCTCGAATGTGAAAGCAATTTGTTAAAAAGAATCGCCAAAGAATGCCACAGTCCAATAAACATTAAAGAAATTTTGAGTTGCTTCACCATTGACGTCATCGGTTCAGTCGGTTTTGGCCTCGAATGCAAGACTTTTGAAGATGAGGATTCGCCTTTCCGCATTTACGGGAAAAAAGTCTTCAAGGATTCGGTTTTGAGGAGCCTGAAACGTGTATTTCTCACATCGAATTTCCCGGATTTGGCCCGGAAACTGGGCGTTTTGGCGTTTCCGTCTGACATAACCGATTTTTTCTTGAAGGTTGTAACCGATACGGTTAGGTACAGGGAGGAGAATCACCACACGAGGAGTGATTTTTTGCAACTTTTGATTGATATGAAAAATAATGAAACGCTGACGATTGAAGAAATTGCTGCACAGTGTTTTGTTTTTTTCTTGGCCGGTTTTGAGACGTCTTCAACCACAATGACTTTTGCTCTTTACGAACTTGCGAAAAATCAAGAAATTCAAAGTAGAGTAAGAGAAGAAATTGGTGCAGTTTTGAAGAAATACGACGGGAAAATCACTTATGAGGCGATTCATGACATGAAATACATGAATCAAGTTATTGATGGTACAATTTTTACTAATCTTAAAATTTTATTCATTTATATTATTTAAGAAACGTTGAGGAAATACCCAGCAACGACAGTCATTACCAGGACTTGTGTCAGGGATTATGGAATTCCTGATCAGGATGTGATAATTCCAAAAGGGACCTCGGTTTTAATCCCAGTTTTGGGAATTCACCACGATGAGGAATATTACCCAAATCCGGAAAAATTCGACCCGGAGAGGTTTACTCAGGAAAATAAAGCTGCAAGGCATCACTATGCCCATTTGCCATTTGGCGAAGGACCACGAATTTGTATCGGTATATTTCAACAATTGTTTTTCAATGTTTAGTTTACGATAATTTCAGGATTGAGATTCGGATTAATGCAAAGTAAAGTCGGTTTAACTTCATTGCTGAAAAATTACAGATTTACAGTTAATGAGAAAACAAAAGAACCGCTTAAAATGCAAGTAAGGTCGTTGATTTTGGCGGCCGAGGGGGAAATTTGGTTGGATGCTCACAAGTTATAAAAAAGTTAATTTTTTTCATAACCGTGTATGTAATGTTGAGTTTTCTAACCTTGACGGAGGTTGGAAAGTGACTCATTAGTGACCTTCTGTTACTACCCTCGTTTTCTAGACCCCTTTTGATCACAATTAAACACATTTATTGCAATGACGACAGAAATAACTACACGATCGACGAGTCAAACTTTTTTTAAAACTTTTTCATTATTATTAAATATGCGGTTGTGAATAAAATTGTTTGCAAAACTTGGGGGAAAGTTTCATTTCTGCTTCAATGCAACCGTTTCGGTAAACTTTCTAATCTTTCGACAGAAATGAAACACTTTACACCTCGGTGTGTATTTTACTATTTGTCTTTTGTTATTGTATATGGTTTCACAAAAAAAAGTTCAAAATTTTAGTCCATATCAAGTATTTATGTAATTTAATAAATTGAATAAACAAATCGTTTCATTTACTTATTAACTATTTGCAACTAATTAGTAATTATACACATTTCTTAATTTCCTTAAAGAAAATTATAAATCAAGATGCTAAAAATTTGATTAAACTTTTAAAAAAAGGTGCAAAATTTAATTTTTTTTAAATAAAAATTTCAAAAATCTTAAAATAGTTTTAATGTATAGGGTGCGCCAGAACTCGTGCTCCAGAGAAAAATGCCATGTAAGGTAAGATACCAGGTAGATGGGAAAAATGTTTAAAAAATCCTATCTATTTTGTTTTCTTGTTCCTGGTATCTTATCTTACCTGAAATTTTTCTTTGGGGCGCGAGTTCTGAGAGAAAAAAACCTATACATACTAACAAAAAAAAAATATGTATTAACTATCTGCAAACTTTAAATTGTATAATAGAAAAAACCTTCCATACCTAGAGAGCGAAACTTTATAAGCTTGACTTAAAGAAATAAAAATAAAAATTAAAAAAAATAGATTTTGACTTAGATTATAAAGCTTGTAACCAGGCTCAAAAAAATTATAAAAAATATATTGTTTGCTTCTAAGAACACAATAGTTGCAAAATAAGCTGTTAAAAACTCGATTTAAAAAAAAGTTAAAAACAATTGCAAGAAAAAAAGGAATGAAAAAAAGAAAAAAAAAGAGAAAAAAAGAAGACGAAACAAAAAACCTCTGACTGGACTCTGAAAAAATTTAAAAAAATTGCTGAATAAAGTTAAAAATACATATTTTTTTTGTAAAATCTGAAAAATGACATTTACATAAAAGTACTTGGGTAAAAATTTTGTTTATTATTAAATATATGAAAACAAAAAAGGATGAAAGGGCTCTCATATATCTACAATGTGTTGTCAGACCAGTGTTGCCAGATCAAAAACATAAATTTCACCAGATCCGAGTTAAAAAATTTGCCAAATTTTTACCAGATTACGATTGAGATGGGAAAATCTCACGAAAAAACGCAGTTTTCAGCTAAAAAAGTAAAAATGACATGCTTTTAGGACTAATTCTGTATTTTTTCGGCTTGTTTTCAACAAAATTTTGCGAAATAATTGTGTTTCTAACTGAAAAAGCATTTGAAAAAACTTAAATAAGTTGTCATTTTTGACTCTGATTAGTAATATCTTGTAAAGAATAAATAGAATTATTTTTAACCAATTTGGTGGTTTTCGATTATTTTTTCTTCGAAAAAATTTGACGAAATAATCACGTTAAAGCTCTAAAGTTAGGTAAAAATATCGTAATATAATCTTTTTTATAACAATTTAGTAATTTATGACACGCTATGGCAAACTCTCGCAAAAAAAAAATAGAGTTTTGAGCTTAAAAATCTGCTTGAACTTTTGAAAAAAGAAAAAATATATTTTTTCGGCCAAATTTTGTGTTTTTTGGCTTATTTTTAACCAGTTTTGCGTTTCTTGCTGAAAAACATGCTAACACTCTCAATAAATGCAAAATTAATGTAATTTTCGACTTAATATGTTCATTTTTCAGTTCGTTTTAGCGAAATCTTGCGAAAACCTGAGATTGTAGTACAAAAACGTTCTTAAAGACATTCTCGGTTTATTTTTGTCTCATTTTACTCAAAAACCCATTAAATCGAGTGAAACAAACGAACTAACATCAATATCAATTGTTTTTATAATTTTTAAGCGTGTTTGGACAAGATTTTACAAAATAAATGAGTCTCTGGTTCAAAAACCAAGTAAGTCGAGCGAAACAAGCTCAATATAATATTAATTTCGAATTAATTTTGTAATTTTTTGTCTGCTTCAACGGAATTTTTAGAATTTTCTTTGTTTTTATCTCAAAAACGTGCATAAACACTTGAAAAGGGCAAAATAACGCCGTTTTTGGTCGAATATGTTGAATTTTTGATTGTTGTTAAAAAACGATATAATTGTGTTTCTAGCTGAAAAAGAGTTCTAAAAACAAAAATAAATTATCATTTTCGATCCTGTCTAGTAAAATCTTGTAAGAAAACAAACAAAACTATCTTTACCCAAATTGGCAGAAAAAATTTGACGAAATAATCAAGTTTTTGGTTGAAACGTGGAAAATGTTCGAAAAAACAGTTTTTTTTTCATTTTCAAAAAAATCACCAGATAGAATTTTTACAAAAATTGTCACCAAATTACCAGACAAAAAGTATTTTTTTGCTTGTATAGCTTTAAAACGTAATAATAAATAATGACATTGAATTGTTTTTTTTTTCTGAGGGTTTGTTGGTGGGTGAAAATCTCCAGTTTCACACCCCACCAAACCCTTTGCTCAAACCCATCGATCCCTCATTCCGTCCCGAGCTTCCGACGCGCCAACCATCATGGACGACCGAACCATCGACTTGATTTTCGCCGGCTCGCTGGAAAATCTCCCTCCAGTGAGTTCAAAAATCGTGCGAATTTTCACCAGTTCAACATTCACAGGTAAAACACCCAAAATCCATTTTTTTCCTCATGGTTAAATTCAGATACCACGATGGAACGAAATACTCTAATGGCTAAATGTTATCCGAGGATCAAGGATTATTGTCGCGAAAAACACGGCCTTGAATTTCAAGTAAGATGGTACGCCATGGTACGGATCAATAAAAAGGGGTTGTAGGTGGTCGATATGAGATGGGGTGTGAGAGATGAAGCAACTGATGATCACATGACGACAGAATTGTGCATGAAGGAAATACAAAATTGTCAAAGATTGTCAATGGGGCCAAATTTTGTCGTGAGTTATTGTCTTGACTGTGATGGTGCCACCATGACAATGTTTTAGGTTTTTTTGGGGCAAAAATACGGTTATAGACCAATCCCCACTTATATTCTTTCGTCAGAGTTGCAAATGATTCGGGATGAGTTAGCCGCTACTGGACATGATCCCGTTTTAATTGACACATGGTACCGGAAAGACAGTAATGCTGTCCCTCCCATATCCGTCCTCCAACCCATTTCCTCAATCCTCATCAATTTCAACAACAAAAGAATCCCAAAATTGCAAGCCGAAGATCAAGCCAAATGGTGGGACACTTTAAATAAGTTTCAGAAATTGTTTCGCAAAGCTGCTGCGTCTTTGTACCAACAAGGGAAAATGGACCATGACGCTATGCATAACTATTTCATGTCGGTCACGGAACGGGAGGTTATCAATGGGATTCTCAATGTGAAAAATACCAAAAACCACTGTTTGGCCTACATTCGGTACATCAACAACATCAATCTTCAAAATCTGAAGAAAGCTTCCCTTTTTGTCGACATTATCAATCGTAGTCTTGACTCCGAATCGACTAAACTCTTGGCTAACCTTCGGGATGAGAGATTACCGGCGAAAATCGAAAGTAGCAATTTGCAAAAATACACAGTTGAATGGATTGGGCGTGAAGGTTTAGATAATGAAACCCATGAAGACTATCTCAAACATTTTATCACCCATTTCTACAAGAATATTATCAAATTGGTGGATCGAGCAATGCGAAAGGAGGATTCCAGCGCCCAAGGACAGATTGTCACAGAAATTCTTCAACATCTTCACGCTTGTAATAATTCAGTCCGGGTTTTCTATGGACGTGAAGACAGTCTTGAGCACATCCACCAATACATGACCAACGACTCTGATAAACTCTTAATCTTGTATGGGGAAGGTGGTTGTGGTAAAACCTCTCTCTTGGCCAAAAGTGCCAGTATGTCGACTAGTACCGAATGGTTCATGAACGCCAAACCCATTAGTATAATACGGTTTCTGGGAACCACTCCCGACTCATCAGCTTTGACTCCGACTCTCATTTCGATTTGTCAACAGATTTCGTACAATTTCATGCTACCTTTTGATGGTATTCCAGACGATTTGGTACCACTCACCGCTCATTTTAAGTACTTATTGACTTTGGCGAGTAAGGAACAACCTTTGTTGTTGTTTCTTGACTCTGTGGATCAATTAACTGGTACCCAGGATGCTAATAAAGTGTCATGGTTGCCGACTCGACTACCACCATATTGTAAAGTACGTACCGGTTTGGTACCACTCAAAATTGACTAAACTTATAGATTATCGTCTCGTGTGCGTCCGAAGATAGCAATCCTGAAGTCTCGCGTGATTACCACGTTTTGAGACGTATGGTCGACGTTGAAGAGAATTTCATCGAAGTCAAGGCTTTAGGCGAGGAGTTGGCTATGAAAGTTGTCAAGTGAGTACTCCCCCAGTGGCGCAGTCAGAGAGAGATAGCGTTTAGGGGGGCTTAACTTATCTAAAAAATTTCGGCCACGTCATTTCAAAAAAGACTTAAGTCTTACGCTTAATTGTCATAACTGTTTTAATGACAAATCAGAATGAATATGGCACAGCAATGTCATTCGGTTAACATTTCATACATGACGGCCCTTAGATAATTACTTTAATTTGAAATTATTACTGATAAAAAGTTATATCAAGTAAACTTTAACTTGTTGATAGAAGAAGATGTAGTAAAAAACGAATGTGTTTTCTTGTTTTGTATCTAAATTTTAATGACATTTCACGAGTGACATTTTATCAAAATTTTGTGTCGTTTCGTTCAGTTGTGGTTTAATTCTTTCCTTGAGTTTCTTGGCAAATCAGCTATAGCCAGGCACAAATTATTTTTTAGTTTTGAAAAATCAAGTGTGCCTTAGAAATTTTTAGAAAAACCTATTTTTTGTAAAATACTTATTAAAGATACAACAAAAATTTTATAAGAAAAGTTGTTTAGTATTAACATCTAGGCCCTTATACCAAATTTCAAAATCATTGGCTAACTAACATTTTTCATTTTTATTGAAGCTTTTTAGTAACAGTTACATAAAAAAAGTTTACTAAAGTCAAAATCTTAGGTCCGTATAATTTGAAAAACTTCGACTAACTTTGATCTCTCACATGTTCTTTTATGTTAAATTCTCAAAATAAAAAAATATTTGTAACAAAGACCGCCATGGAAAAATAAAATTGTATAATATAACAATATTAATCAGTGAAAGCTTCAATGTTAATTCAGTTTATTTAAACAGACTTACACGAAATTTTTCAAAAAATTATTTCTTGTATTTTTACAACATTTTTGTACTTTTTTAAGTCTCTTGAATCCTCAATTTTGTTCAATTTTTAAGTTTTTAGTTTTTTCAATTTTTGTGGAAATTTTGGGCGAATTTCGGTTTATTGCTAATAAGTAATAACTTCGGAATTATTGACGCCTCTTGTATTTAAAAATTTCTTTGCGAGATATTGTCTTGGCTTTGGCGTCAATCGCTAGATTTTTTTACTCTGATTACGATGGTATTAAGCTTTTTGCTCTAAGTTTGGCCGTAATCGTCGTTCAAAAAGTCAAAATTGTCAAAATTTTGACACTTTATTTAATGCGTTTTTTACGAAACTTACAGCAAAAGGCAAAAAACTACTTTAAATTACCTATCTAATGGCGCCAACCGGAAGTCACTCCGGGTGATGGTTCCGGGTACAGAGCCATTTTTAGTTTTTTAATAAAAATTCATATTTCAAGAACTATGGGTTAATTTTACATATAGCACTAGTTTTTCATAAGAATAAAAAAATTGATTTTTTGGTCAAAATCGTATACAGTGTTTATGCTTCTAGCCCTATTCTTAACTTTATTACTCAATATCTCAAAAACTATGCATCGTGTTCAGGGCGTAATTTTACGTCTAGAAAACCATATTTCCTGCGTTTTTACGACTTAAGGTAAATTGACTATTTTTACGATTTTACCACCGCTCGCTCACCTTCAAAAACTACGTAATTTTTTCAACTTAACCCAATAACGTTTTATACACTTTTTGGAGTCTTTAAGACCTCTAGAAATGTAGAAAACGTCATATGGATCAATTTTAAAGTTGATTTTTTTTTATTTTCGACGTGATTTTGTACCCGGAGCAGTTTATTGCTAATAACTCTGGAACTACTGGTGCTAGCCTCTCGCATTTGATATTGTTGAAAAGCAGATTTAATTTTTTATCAAAAAAAAAGATACTTGTCCTACGTTAAATAGTTATCGAGAAAATTACTAATAAAGTCAAAAAACTCCAAAATATTAATTCAACTATAACTTCTAAACGATCAAGAATTTTGCAAGTTTCTCAATGCAAATCGATTTCTCGGAACATTTTACATATGTCTACGTCAAAATATATTGTATCATGAAGGTACAGTTTTGCCGCAATTTACAAAATAAAAAAAGTAAAAATTTATGAATTTTCCAAAGTTATCACAACATCGAAAATAATTGAATTCAAAATGAAGTTTGGTTGTTTCTAAAATATAATTTAAGTTTCATTACCCCTACAAAATAATTTTGCCTGATTTTGTTCTCGCTGCGCCACTGTACAGGGTGCTGCATTTTGGATGTCCAAATAGGGAATCTCCGAAACTAAGAGGTTTAGCTAAAAAGGAGTAATACATTCTGGGGCTCATTTGTTGAGAAAATAATATTGGTTAAAACCGCATCCCGCTATCGTCTTTTGTTTTCGACTTATAGACAAAAATTGACATTTTAGCAATATCTAAAAAAATTCATATCTTCGTTATTATAGAAGACACAGATTTGAAATAAGAACATTATACAGGCACTTTTTTACGTAGAATTTAATAATGTAGTTAACAATTTTTTTCAGTTGTTTGTTTAGCCGTAATAAAATAAACTTGTATTTTTTTAAATGGGAATCATAGATGGCTATGTCATTTTTAAAAAGCTTGTTTTTTCTTATCTAAAAAATATATATTTGTAACAAATTATTATAATACATTTTTAGCAAAAAAAATCTTTGATTTTTGTTCGCAGTTGGTCATGAAAAAATGTTGCATCTTCAACTAAAAGGATTTAAAGTATATTATATTCAACCAGTGTCACTAATGAAAGAGTTTTCTAAGTACTAAGTGATGAAAAAGATGCAAAATAAATTGTAAATCAACTTATTGGCGACTAATAACATTTCTTTGTTTTTAAACAAGCTAACATTACCATTGCAACTTCTAGTGATACATAGAGTGTTGTAAAAAAAAGCTGCTTTAATTCTTCAATAAAATTTATTTTATATGACACAAAAATGATGATATGGCTATTCAAATACCCAAATTCCGTCTATGTGAAACGTTATCCTACCTTTATTAGATCATCAAAAAAAAATGTTTTTTCTAATTGTGTTGACTGTTGACACATTTGTTTTTCCTATTTTTGGATTTTTTAAAAATATGTAATAATTTTGTTCTGAAGCGCTCGCATATTTGTTCAATGCTTCTACCGTAGCGTATTTTTTAAATTTTTATAATTTTATCTATTTTTTCATCTATTTTACAGTTCACAAAACTCTTATTGATTATTATTTACACATTTGGAGTGAAATAGTTTTTCCATGGCCAACTATTATCACACAAAATATGTATTTCACTTTTTAAGTATAGTTATAAAAAAATATTCTTGTACAAATATATATTTTTTAGATCAGAAAAAAAATAAGCTTTTCAAAATTGCCATAGCCGCCTATGATTTCCATTTAAAAAAATACAAGTTTATCTTATTACGGCTAAACTAATAACTGAAAAAAATTGTTAACTACATTATTAAATTCCTCGTAAAAAAGTGCCCCTATAATGTCTTTATTTCAAATCCGTATCTTCTATAACAACGAAGATATGATTTTTTTTAGATTTCGCTAAAATGTCAATTTTTGTCTATAAGTCGAAAACAAGAGACGATAGCGGGATGCGGTTTTAACCAATATTATTTTCTCAAAAAATGAGCCCCAGAATGTATTACTCGTTTTTGGCTAAACCTCTTAGTTTCGGAGATTCCCTATTCGGACATCCAAAATGCAGCACCCTGTACTCCCCCTCTTAGTTTGTTTATTTTTTCTTGTTATTTTCCAAGGATGTGGATGAAAACCGCCTGTCGTGACCTTACAAACTACCAATGGCGTCTCGTATCGAACGCTATTGAAAAATGTAGTTTACCGATTTTTGTTAAACTCGTGTTTGCCGAAATTTGCCGATGGCGCAGCTATACCAAATCCCAAGACACTCATTTAGCCTCAACTGTTATGGACTCGATCATGATGCTATTTGAACGTATAGAAAAACAACACGGACGCATTTTAGTGTTTCATGCTTTGGCATACATAACAGCTGCCAAAAGTGGACTATCCGAGTCCGAATTGGAGGATTTGATTTCACTCGATGATAAGGTACTCGATGATGTGTATCAGTACCATTTACCTCCAGTTCGGAGAATTCCACCCTTGTTGTGGACCCGAATTCGGAACGACTTACCCAATTATCTCTCCGAACGTGAAGCTGACGGTGTTAGTGTCATGAATTGGTACCATCGCCAGTTTAGAGACACGGCAAAGGAGCGCTACTTTAAGAATATGAACATGGCGATGTATTTTCATTCAATGATTGCGGACTACTTTCTGGGGATTTGGGGCGGGGGGAATCCCAAGCCGTTCAAATATACGGAAATACAGAGACACAGGTGAGGTGAGGGTACTTGGTGGTACTTGTCCCACATTTGGGGCACTTCTAGGTTCAATTTAACCGATAAGGAAGGCGTAGCTGATCGAAAAGTACCAGTCCAGCCTTTGTTGTTTTATACCAAAGATGGGAAAGTCTCACGGTACAATTTGAGGAAATTTGGCGAATTGCCTTTTCATTTGGTACGATCGCGTCGATTTAAGGATTTATACGAAAATGTTCTTTTTAATTACGAGTGGTTACATGCAAAGTTATCGAGTTGTCCCCTTCAGGCCGTTTTGGCCGATTACGAGGATGCTGGTACTCATATTGAAGACAAGGATTCACGCAGGTACCACTTTGGCCGTTTCAGGGAACCTTCTAATTGGTTCTTTTAGAGAATTAATGTTGGTAGCTGACGCTTTACGTCTTGGTGGTGCTGTTTTAGGACAGTACCCTAACATGTTGGCACCACAACTAATCGGTCGTTTATTACCAGAAGTGGGGCCAAACCCAAATATCAAAATGTTACTAAATGATTGTGATATTAAAGGACCAGTACATTGCTCACTTTTACCGGTTTATCACTGTTTACATACACCCGGTGGACCCTTAAAATATTCACTTGAAGGTCACCAGTTTGCCGTCTTTGCGATTTGTTTAACATCTGATTATCGGTATGTTGTTTCGATTTCGAATCGTTTCATCACTTGGGATTTATCGACAAGTGATTTGACAAGGGATGTTAATCCCAATATTGAGGGGATTATGCAACAGTTGGTTTTAAGTCCGGATAATAAGTGGGCCGGGGCTTATACCAATAATAATCAGGTGAGTTGCAAAATTGTGATTTACCGGGGAAAAAACTATGCACCAGTCTAACTTTGTACTTGCCATCTAAGATAAGATACCAGGAACATGGAAAAAATGTTTAAAAAAAATTCGAAGTTATGAGGATTTAAAGTTTGGACTTTGACTCTATTTATTTCTGTTGGAAAAATAATTTAAATTTAAATAATTTTGTTTGCTATAGGCTATTAAACGAAGAAACAAGGAAGCTGTATCCTAAATTGTAACTATGTTCAATGTTATTTGTGGATATTATTGACAAAATTTTTGTCCCTTTACTAAATAATTGTAAAAAAACATATACAAGATCATCAGTATCATTAAATAGATATAAAAAAATGTTAAATGTCAAAAAATAAATGGCAAAATTTTTTGACAGATAGAATTTTTCAAACATTTTTTTCATGTTTCTGGTATCTTAGCTTACTTAAAAATTTTCTCTGGGGCGCGAGTTCTAGCGCAGCCCTGTATGTCAAAAAACCCTTATTTAGGAAGTTGGTCCGAACCCGAAAAATGTCTTTTTGTGAAAATTATAATAAACAAGCTTGCTCAATTATCAAATTACAAATACATAAATTTATTTAAGAAAAATATTTTGCAAGTATACAGTATGTTCCCGGATTAAATTTACAAGAGGAAAAAAAAATTACCTTTGAATTTACGCCAAAACTGCAAAGGAAAAACATTTTTAGCTTAACTTGACTTTTAAGGTTCTTTATCTACAGCTTTCAAAAATCAAGAATGTAGAACTAGTTTTAAATGCCAGAATTTTTAATAAACTGTGAATTTTGCCAATTTCTACCAAATTATTTCTTTTATAATCAAAATTCTGAACTTAATAATACATTTTATATTAGCCAGTCAAAAGGAAACAAATTTTTACCTTTGATTTTACGCCCAGAATGCAAAGGAAATACTTTTTTTCTATAGCAGATGTTAAACTATTTTTTTTTAAAACTCTTTTGAGTAGATAAAGTAACACTTTAACAGCAAGGGTTATTTTTGCTTTATCTGAAGCGAGCAAATATGTAACTAAAACTTCATTATTCTGAATCAGTGGAAAGAAAAGTTAATTTTTTTCTTACTTTTGGACTTGTAATAATAATCTTCCTTTGCTTTTCAAGTCCCATCACATTGGGGATTTTATTTTTTTGACAACGATGTCACTTTGACAATAAATGAATTAATTGAATAATGATTGTTTTTGTTAAAAATGGCTGTTTTTTAGGAGCTGTTTTTTTAACTTGCCATTTATTAAAATTATGTTTTTTACAAACATTTTTGTTATTTAACTTGCGTTAACTCATCTGTCAAAATCACATCATTGTCAAAAAAATAAAACGCCAATATGATGGAATTTAAAACGTAGAGAAAAAATTACACTAGTTTACACGATTTTTATACCTTAGTAGCTAAAAGTTAATTTCTTATAATTTCTTAAAAAAAAAATTTTAAAAAAGTCCACCACGTTACGTTTAAGAAATATGTAATTAACAAAAATACAGAAACAGCCAAAGAACAAATTAAAAATGAGTAATTTTACTTGGTTTTATTATACTTTTTGGATCAGTTTTCTTTATAACAATCCAACAGTAATCTACTAGTAATCTAACACATTTTCATCCCTTAAGATCTTGATGAAAACGCTCGTCTTGTTTGTCACTGATGCACCCTAAATTTTTAGAAAAGAAGTCAAAATGCGAGTGAAATGTTTTTAAGACCTATTTAGACCCATATAGTAATAATTTTGCAATAATTCAGCAACAATTTGAATTTAAATAAATTTTAAATCGGAGGCATTTGTACAGAAAGCAGAAAAATTATCGTCTGTAACAAAAAAAGTGTGACGTGATGGAAAAATTTAACAATTATTTTTGTTTAATTAAAGGTAAGTTAACATAAAAATAATAATTCGATTAAAGATATATTAAACATCTATGTAGACTATGTGTTATTATAGTTATTACAAGCTCAAAATCAAGAGAAAAATTAAATTTTCTTTCCACTGAGTGAAAGTAATAAACTTTTAAAATTACGGACTTACTGGTTTCAGGTGAAGCAAAAAATGTTTTGCTTTTGCAATGTTAGCGTAAAATAAAAAAATCCGGGGACATACGGTATAATATTAGTTATTATTATTATTATAATGGCATTAAATCTACCACTTTGGGTTTTTTGCTTTGTTCAGAAGTAATAAACATAAATATAAAAAACGGAAGAAACTAGCTATTTGTTAATAAAATTAAAAATAAATCACCAAAATTTTGTTAGGGTAATGAAATATATGGGCATGCATATTTTTTTCTCTAAAATTTGCTGTCATTTTGCAAATTATTATAATCACCATTTAATAATTCATACTCATTGAAGAAATTTTCTGAAAAACTTCCTAAATAAAGGGTCTTTCGACATATTACCTGCTCCCCAACTAGTTAGTCGGAAACAGTATTGCAACAAAGCGCAGTGTGAGCAGAAAGTTAGACTGGTGAATAGTTTTTTCCCCGGGTGTACCATTTGACAATTTTTCGTTTCAAGACTGTACTACTTAATATGTTATCGAGCGAGTTTGTTATTATTGATAATCCACTTCCTGAAGGGGAAAATGTGTACGGGATTTATTTACTTAATCGAAGTCTCTATATCTATGGTGGTACCAATTGGGTACAATTTGATATGAGGGGTAACAAAGAAGAGGAGTTTACGTCAAGTGTCGATCGAAATGAGTGGCAAATTCTTTGTAAGTATTTGTTTGTGGTACCAAGTAGTTTCGAATCATGGTTCTAGTAATGGAGTTTGATAATCCCAAAGATTATCGAATAATATATTGGAAAGGTACTCTCGATGATGATAAAATGTTACTTTGCTTGAAAACAGAAGACACGGAATATGAACCATTCGAGTACCATAGTGCTATAGTCTTAACTAAAGACAAAACAACTCTCTACGCATGTACCACAGATGGTACTTACTCACTCGCAAAATTCACCAAATCGGAGGAAACCCACCGATGGGAATTTACCGAAAATTTACCACGGATGGAAAACGACGACAGCGAAGTGATGTTACAACTAAAACTCGATAAACACGATAAAGTACTCTTTGGTACCACAAGTAACGGGTTTGTTATATGGGATTTTGATAGTACCAATCAAGAAGCTATAGTTTTGAAACTCCCTTATGGTACCAGAAACATCACCACTAAAATCCTCCAATCGAATTCGATCATGTTGAGTGGCCACCGAAACTACGCCATAGCGGGCGTCCGTAAAAACTTGTACGTTTGGAGCATGGAGAGTCACAAACTTGTCAAAATTTTGGACGCTCATTTTGGACGAATCATCCAATTGGAGGCGCTAACAATCGGGAATTGGAATAGTATTGTGACGTCATCGATTGACCGTACTGTCAAAGTCTGGAATATTAATAACATTTTTGAGCAAGTTCACGTGATTGACAGACATGAGCTACAAGTTGACGCGATTAGGTACGTTTCAAAGTGGCAATATCCTGTATACAGGGTGCGCCCAAACTCGCGCCCTGCATGTATCAGGTAAGATACCAGGAACATGGAAAAAAATTTCTTCATTATGAGAGTTTAAATTTTGCTCTTTAACTATATTTTTTTCTGCTGGAAAAATAATTTTCCAAGTTTTTTTGTTGCAAGCTATAAAAAGAGGAAACAAGATGGCTGTATCCTAAATTGTAACTTTGTTTAATGTTATTTGTGGCTTTTATTGGCAAAATTTTTGTACCTTTACTAAATAATTATAAAAAAACATATAAAATACAAGATCATCAGTATCATTAAATAGACGTAAAAACAAGACATTTGCTATACCAGGTGAATAAAAAGTATGGAACCAAACGTTTTTCGCTTAAACTATTTATTTTTTGAAAAAACGATGAGTGATTAAGTACTATAAAAATGCGATGATTTAACAAGAATTAAATTTTTCGAAATTTCCTTTTGTTTTTAAGTTCTACAAAAAAAAATATTTTTTTAAATGGCAACCCACTATAAAATCACTTTTCTCATAAAAGCTATACTCTACGAATTATAACTATCTGCCTTATATTTAATTTTTTCAAAAAAAATTTTCACATATATTGCAATTTTGACAAAAAAAATCGCACAACTCAAAAACAAAACAAAATTTCGTTCTGAAAATACGATCACATTTCTATATTACTTTAATTTATATTAATTATTATTTTCTAGAGGCAAATGATTAAAAATAAAACCGCTTGGTTCCATACTTTATATTCACCCTGCATGTGTAAAATAATCTAAAACTTTCTGATTTTCTTTAACCCTTTAACAGGCAGAACCCAAAAGAACTTACAATATTAATTGTATATTGCAATTTTTTTGGCTTCTAATCAAGAATGACTCAAAACAATGTTTTTTGGTCAAAATCATTTTTAGTTTTTTTGAAAAACGCCGGTACATATTTATACCAGAGACCCATTAAAAATTTTCTAAAATTATCTTTGGTACACAATGGTACCACAAAAGCTCTAAAAAACAGGTTTGTTCTCACGATAGTGGTAATTATGAGAATGGGAAATGATTATTGTTGGCCCTTGTAATCGGACCAATAAATTAACAAATGTGTCCAACAAATCAAATTCAAGAATTTGCAAAAACCTCAGCGATTATCAATAAAAAACTGTTTTATTTCAATTCGAATTTAGTTTGGAAAAGACGCAAAAATAATGAATTTAAATTATTTTTTTTCCAATATATCACGAAAAATTGATGTTAGATAAGGGACTATTTCGTCAATTTTTTTCTCAGTAGATTCAAAAAAAAATGCAGATTAAAACTTTCATATGACTTAAAAATGATACATTTTTTAAATTTGTTTCCTCAATTGAGTTTAAAAATTCCCGTTTAGTGCATTGAAAATTGTGTACTCAGTTGGCAATAAAAAATTACACTTATCAACAAATCGACAATATTTGGACAATTTGTACAAATGAACGCAGAAATAATGAGCTTAAATTTAATTCTTCATTTGGCAATAAAAATAAATCGTTTTGGTGATAAAAAATAAGGACTATATTTGTAAATTTATATTTGTTTTCCTCATTGGCTTCGAAAAAACTAATTTTTGCAATCTACGAATTTTTACCTTTTATATGTATTTTGTTATTAGGTATTTCAAAACTGTACCTCAAAGGTACAGAGTGGTTATATATGATTTTCATCTAGCCAGCTTTGGAATTTTTTTGCATATAACTCGCTCTACTATTTTAAACGCTCTAGTTCTGTCATTAGTGTCACTTATTAATTAATAATAAATTGTTGTTAATTAAATTTTTATTGTTTCAACTAATTTCCAATAATAATTGATAATAATGTATACTTTGGAAGAAAACAAGTCTATAATTGAAGTCTATTTTCGAAGTGGACGCTTAATAAACGGCATTTTTTTAATTTTGAGTTACAACAAGTAGGTACCCTTATTTTCGTAAAGCGGAAAAACATGGAAAAAATGTTAAAAAAAAATATCTATAAAAATTTCGAAGTTCTGAGAGTTTGAATTTTGCATTTTGACTCTATTTATTTTTGTTGAAAAAATAATTTTCCAATTTTTTTTGCTACAGACTATTAGAAGAGGAAAGAAGAAAGCTGTATTCTAAATTGTGTCTTTTATTGTCATAATTTTTGTACCTTTATTAAATAATTGTATAAAAACATATACAAGATCATCAGTATCATTGACAAATAGAATTTTTTAAACATTTTTTCCATGTTCCTGGTATCTTATCTTACTTGAAATTTTTCTCTGGGGCGCGAGTTGTGGCGCACCCTGTATAGATACTTCCGTTTTTCTGTCGTTTTCGTTTAATTTTCTTGAAGAGTGTGAGCCACATTTAGGCGAAATGTCACCAACTGTCAGATTGAATGATTGAAATCCAACGCACTCTTGGTTAAGGTTTTTTATTCAACTTAAAATTTATGCACTTTTAGGCCTGTTTTTCTCTATAAAACTCTACTACTTTGAGAAATTATGATTGAATTATTGTTTTTTACTTTCACTCAATCTCTACCTTTCGCCGTTTTCTACTTTTAGCGCGTCAAAATTTTCCAACTCCAATTGCTATCGCGTGACAAAGATGGTTAAATAAACGTTTTACACGGGTGTGAGAGCGTTCAACCTATCGTGTAGATAATATAAAACGTCAAAAGTCAAAAAATAAATGTCAAAATTTTTTGACAGATAGAATTTTTTAAGCATTTTTTCCTACGACCATATACGAAACTAGATCATAATGCACAATTACATATGCGCGAAAATTGGCAATATCGTACGAGGTCGAAAAAGTGTGCGATTTGTTTTCGCACTGTGTGTTAGAAATCTAACGCACAATTCACACTCGAATGTTTTGTATTTTTTTTAATTTAACGTTTTTTTTTTGTATCTATTATAAAAAATAAATCGTTATTCAAGGTATTTTTGTATCCATTATAAACAATAAATCGTTATGAAAAAAAATATGTTCGTAAGAAAAAAATTATTTATGGTCGTAGGAAAAATAGTGTACAAAAGGAAAGTGTCTAACGCACTCGCGGTATTGCCTGTACTCGGCTAACGCCTCGTGTGCAACTTTCCCGCTTGTGTGTTATTTATCACTTTCCGTGCTCGTTATGTAGTATACTATTTCCATGTTCCTGGTATCTTGTCTTACTTGGAATTTTTTTCTGGGGCGCAAGTTCTGTATTGACTAGTTTTTAGCTTATCGGATGACTTAAGTCTTGCGGTTACTGTAACTCGTAACTGTGTTGGAGTTTGGGACTTACGAATCGGTAAATTGATGTCAAAACTAGCCGATAGTCCCTTGGGTGCGATTGTGACCCATGCCATAATCACCCCAGATGGTAAATACATTATTTCGGCGGAATCTGGTAATTTTTTGATTTGGTTGCGGTTGACCCAACAAGTGATTTACAAAGATGAACAACCGGGGATTAGACAGTTGACTTTGATGGACGATGGTACTAAAGTACTGTCTATTTCCAAACCGAGTAATCCACCAGGTACAGATCTGGTGCGTACAGTGGCTACAGTGTGCGTCCGTGAAGTCCCAAGTAAGTCCAAAAACCGAATTGTGTTTTTTTTAACCGAATTTGCGCCAGGTGGTGAGATGGTTTACAGTTTCGAGTACCCAGTCAGATCAATAACCGGAGTGTTGTTCAAACCGGCGGTTATAACCTCCGATAATCAACATTTGGTCGTAGTAGCAGCTGATAAGACAAATCGTGATTGTATCATTGTTTACAATGCTACCAACGGTAATCTTGTCCATAAAATATCCCTGAAAATTTGCGGAGTCAAAGATGTGGGTTGTTTGGTGGCAATGCCCCATAAAGGTCACTTGATTGCCGTTATGACAATCGATAAAGGTGCAATTATTGACATAAGATCGAAAAAACATCTTCGAAGTGTACCAAAATGGGGCGGAAGCGTCACCAAGGATGGTAAGTACGGCCTTTATGCTCCTTCTAGAGGTGGCCTTGAGTTACTCGAGTTGAAAAAAGGACAAACTGTGCGAACTTTTATCCCCAAAGTTGCTGAAGGTGTCTTCACTATCATTTGTTTGTTTAATAAAACCGACGAATACGTTTTGTACTATCACAGTGGGCGTAAAACTTTAAGAGTTTTCCGGTTTGTGTCCAATTTGGGGGTTTTTATTCTATTTTGGGGTATTTTAGTACTTTGGATGCCACCATGGTGGCTAATTACCGAGTCCAGGCTGAGTTAACCGCCGTTGAAAGTACCCCAGATGGGAAAGCTCTAGTTTTGGGTACTGTCGATGGGTGTGTGTCAGTTTTAGCAATTGTGGATACTGATAAGCAAGAAATTGATGAGTATTTGGCCGAAATGCCGTCGAGGGATGAAGAAGTGAGTGATAAACGAATAGGAAAAAGTTTGATCGATATTTTTAGTGGAAGAAAAAAGTGAATAGAATGAAAGCAGCGACGAGGTTTAAAGCAGTCGGGTCAATTGCCAAACTATCGACTGTTTTTGGGAGTAATATTAATGTTGTTAACAATAATATCGAAGAGGAAAGGGAGGAAGAGGTCGCAAATGCGGAATAACTTACAAGAAATTGGGCTTTCTTTCTCGTTTTTTATTTTTTTATTTTGAGATTTCAGATGTTTATTTCTACTCCTAGAAGTACCTACGATAATTAGTAATTAATTACAGCTGACAATCGAGATAACAAATGAACTTCTAGTTAAAAAAGAACAAATCAAGAGTGCTTGTTATGTTTTGTTGCAGTGCTCAATAAATTTATTTCCTGTTTCTTACTGTTCTCTTCTGTATTGTATTTTTCCACTTTAGAAAGGAGTTTCTACCCTTTTTTTTCTCTATAAGCGAAAAGTTTATACAGAGTGGTCCAGAAGTTGGAAACGATTTTTTTCTGGCGAAAATATCAATTTTTTTGGCAAATAAATTTATAGGTAGGTGTGCAATGGCTATAAAAATGCTATTCAAAAATAAATTGAATATCAATTAATTGATTATACTTACGACAATTTTTTTAAATAGAAACCTACCACATATTTTTTCTAGACAACGAGCTTGTTACAAGAATTGTTCCGGTGCAAACATTTTTTTGGAAACCTAACCTAAAAAAATGTTTGACTTACAAGTAAGTAAATTCAGTGTTTACGTTCAATAGTCAAATTAAGAACTTGCTTTTGAATAATTAACTTTGTTCAACTGAGTTGGCTAACTGATGTTGTTTTTGTTCAATTTTTGTTTTTTTTGTCATTTCTTATTAAAGAATTCTTTCTTGTTTTTTCTTTTTGTTTTTGAGAGACTGGCAATGGTTTCTTTCTTTACTTTTAGTTATTAAGTAACTTCCGAATTTATTTTTATTCAAGTTTTGTATTATTTATAATAATTATTTTTATTTTTATGTTATTTTTTTTTCTATGAATTTTCTTTTGAAGTTAAGTTGAATAGCTTCAAGCTAGACTTCGCCTCTGCATCTTTGTATTACTTTTAATTTAGTAATAAAGACCTTTATTATTATTATTATTAAGTAATAAAAAAAAATTTTTTCGAGTAAACCACCAGTTTTTTTTTTTTCGAAATAAATTAATAAAGGTTGTAAAGAAACGATGCCAAAATATTTTTTATTTTAATTAATTGTTTAAACTTTTCACCAGAAAAAATTGTTTCCAGACTTCTGGACCCCTGTATACAAGAACCAGTAATAAAACCTTTGAAAATATTCCAAAATTTGGAAATTCGCATGCCTTTGTGAATATTAATTAAAATAATACAGAAAAATGTTTTTAAGCAAATGTTCTCTGACAGAAAAAAATAGTCATTTATTATACAAGACGATAAAGAAATTGTTTATCTACGAGTGAAAAGGTTAAGTTTACGAGTGGACTTTTTTCACGAGTATAATATTTCACGTGTATAATATTTCGGTTTTTTTTGTACTCACCTACCAGAATTTCTTATACAAAATAAAGAATATAAACAGTAGATAAAAATTACTTTATTTCACTAGACGATTAAAGTCTACTTTATCTACTGAAATTAGTTGATAAAAACACTCTTTAGGTAACACTGAGTACTAAAGGCTTATTTAAAAAAACATTTTTTTGCGTTTTTCTACTTTTTAGTCTTTACTTATTGTTTTGTGAAGTCATTTAAATTTTAATATTCTTGATTTTTGAATATTTTATTATTGTTATTAGTTTTTTTTTTATTTTTTCGATTTTTGAACAACCCGTTCCTTTTTTTCCTGCTCTATCGAATGGCGTTAGTTCCATCTTTGTATTTAAAAAATTGTTTATAACAATTGTTAATTGTTTATAAATTATTAATTAAAATAAATATTATTGCATTGTCACGGGAATTACGTATGTATGCAAAATTTAGTTTGTTCGGACAGCAAAAACTTTCTCTGAAACTCGTGCTCCGCACTCGCATTATAAATAATTAGCATTTTCAATTCTAATTACTTATTTCTGACAATTTGTGAGTGTTAAGACAGGGTTGTCACAGTAAAACAATTTTTTTTTTGTAATATCGCTTTATTTTTTCCTACACTTAGTGACTTACAAAACAATAATAAATGTTAATAATTACAAAAAGGTACGTTTCAACAAGTTTGTGCCCTGCACGAAAATAGGTGCGAAATGCAAAATAAGAGTAGTCTTTGAATCGAGCACAAACCCATTTCAATAAATAAACAAAAAAACAACAATCACAGTAAATAACGACATTGATGCGACGTGTTAAACATTATCCAAAAATAGCTCATTATCCACGTAAATTCGTCTTTTTTCTGGTCATCAAATCGTTAATATAAAGCACTAAGCTCGGATTACAGGTTTAATGCATCTTCAATGTCTTTTTTTTGGTCACTTTCCCCTTGAGCACTTGCGAAGCACCTTTAACCATCAACAAAAACCAATAGACTTGGGGCAGGAGCAACGTTACAATGCTAACTTTACATCCAGTTGGTAACGATCGAATCGCCTTTGAAATAACAAAATCGCATCAAAGATAAAATCACCTGAAACTTACCGAAAAGTAATCCAAATCGACGCTTCTTGCATACAAGTAAATCACATACGGGAACATTGCCACCCTACAGACGAAAAAAGTCCCCAACATCACAAGGCCATTAATGACATACAAAATTGAAGACTTCATCCCAATCTTCGAAAGGATACCTCTCAAGGACACAAAAGGAGTACTAGCCTCCATCAGGTACACGAAACCAAAGAAACAGTCACCGAGGCCCCCTCGCAAATACTTAATAGCATTATTAGGGAAATGTCACTAAATTGTGCTACCAACCGTTATGACTAAAAACCCGAAGCCGCCTATAAAAATGTGATGTCCCACGATGACCGCATGGGTTTGCAAATAACTGAAAAAATTAACACCTGAACGTTTACCATCGCCGTTCATGCTGACTTGCACAATTTTAGCATTGTGAACTTTGTACATGGACCAAATGTCGTAGAAAAAATAGGCAGCCCCAAACCAGGCGTACGCCTCTGAGATGTAGTGAGAGGTGTGGAGCATGTCTCTGGTGCAGGAATAGGTGCAGCTGGTCACCCCCGTGATGCAGCAGAAGAGGGCCTGGACGGCTGAGACTTGTCTGGAATGTGGGGGCTATCAAACGCTTTTGATCACTTGGGACTTACTTGTTGCTGATATCGTAGACATCTGCCACTGAAAGTTTGTAAGTCTTGACGAACTTTTGGCCCAGAGAGGTGCGCAACATTAGATTGTTGCTGACGATGTACAAAACGGTGAAAAACACCAATCCGTAGCAAAACAACGAAAAGCCCCTTTTTATCGAAATTTTAGCCTCCCAGTCGAGGTCGCTGACGGATAATACTGACAAAACAAGTGTGGACAGCAGGACGAAAATCAGCGGGATGTGCATGTGAGTCTTCCGGTGCTGCAAAACAGGAAAAAAAGACAATTAGTGGCAACTTACGCAACATTTCTACCTTCATCACTGATAATTTGAACACAAATAGAAATTCCTTATCTTTTTGTGTAAATATTTATGACTTTTAAAGGGTTTATTTCGACAAATTGCCCGCGCACTAATGGGAGGAATCCGACGATTTTATTACAAGTTTTACGGGATTTTCCGTATGGAAATTCAGTCGGGAAACTCACCTCTTTTTTTATCTGCGATATTAGTTGCACTTTCGATTTCATCTTTTACACTTTTTCGAATGATACTGGCGATAAATCAGTCTGTTTTTACATGGTTGTGTGCAATTTTGTCACATAGTGCGGCTGGGTTTGAGGTTAGGGACGAACTTTTTTCAATTGTCATTTAATTGTCAAACAACAACGCGAAACTGTCAAAGTCCAAATTTGAAATATGTGCGCTAAATTCAAATTTGTATGGCAATTTTTGAAGTTTGATCGATTTGTTTAAGTCTGCTTGAAATGACTAGAAAAGATATTTTTTAGCATTTAGATTTGGAGCAATTTTATTGAGATTATTTTTGAAATTTTTTTTTTATAGTTTCAACGTTGGCGACACTTTTTCAATGATTTTTGACAGGACGCAACCAAGTTTCAAAATCTTATAAAAGTTTTGGTGCTATAAATGTTACATTTATCAGTGAATTTCGGTTATTTGATGTGATAAATGAAGAGAAGTGTTTTAACCTGATTGTGAACTGTATTTATTTTGATAAGATTCTCTAAATTCCAGGGTAAGCATTTTATAATTTATCATTAAAATTAATAAAAAACACGTATTTTGATTAATTAAAGTAAATTAAAGATGTTTTAATTAATTATCGGTACCGTCTGAATTTTGGAATTAGCACAATTAGACAATTAGAATTCATTATTTTGTTTAATTTTATGATTCAGTAAAAATTATTCAATTTTTATTATTACTGGTACAGTTGGAGACAAAATACTTTGGTCGTCACTTTTCTGACACTTTAATGTAATTCAAGCTTTAACGTTAAAATGAATGACAATTTCAAATTAATGACAGCTATTATATTTTCCTATCAAAAATATGTACATACAACTTGTCAACTATAATTGACAGTAACTAAAAATAAGGTTAACAGTCCTAAAGCATGCATCACAATTTAATGTCACTCAAGTGACATTAACGACCAAATTTTTGTTTAATTAGTTGTATATTTCTGTCAGTAATCGTTTTAATTACATACGAATAATTATAAAAATTGATTATACAGGTTGAGTGAGAAATGTGTGCCTATAATTTTTTATCTTTTAAAACACTAACACTTGTTTAGTTTATTGTACAGTTGCGGTCACGGAATTTTGAACGTTTATTATTCGATTGACATAAAATTGTCAAATGGTCTTTATGCAACTAACCTCACTTTCGGTTGTTGTAATTTTTATTTTGACCGCAAGAGACAAAATGCCAACAAATCAAAATAATTTATTGAGCTTATAATGTAAAAACAGCAGATGCTATTTTTTTAGATTTATTTGAATTATTAGTAATAATAATAATTAATAAAAAAATATTCTTTTATTTTTATTACAAAACTTACCTTTTCTTTATATTTCTTTTAACTTACCTTTTGTTTACTTATCCACCATATTTTTATTTTAATATTTTTATGTTAACCCCCAAAACTTCCCCCTAGCTGAGCTAATGTTTCTAAGCATTAAAATCAACAAAAATATAATTTAAAAAATGTACTTTTACTTTTTCTAAAATTTTGTTGTACATATTTACACAATTTTTGAAAAATCTATCACTGGAAGAATTAACTATACGTGTTTCAGAAATAAGTACATTAGTTTTAATCAGTGACAGATTTTCTAGGGAACAACAGAATTGTTATGCACCATTTTTTAGAAATCGATATTTTTTGAGACATTTTTTTCGAGGCATTGTTGTTAATTTGTTTGCCGGATTTTGCACGTGGTTAAAATGATTTTTTTTTCTGTGACACTCCTGTATAGAATAACACTTTTCGTGAATGTTTTCTTTATTAAAAAATACGAAATAAAACGGGGAAACACAGTGCTAACAACACATTTTGAGGCACTCGCCACAACACTCGTCACACTCGGAACAACAGTCACAACACCAGTGACACGTAAGGCAATCACCGCAATTACAGCAATCGCAACAACAACAATTTGGATCGAGACAACACATACAACAACCTGCTGTCACGAGAGGATTATCATCGGCATCGAAATTCTTTGTTCTTTTCGGTTGTTGTTGAACAATTTCTTGCACAGTATTGACTGGCTGTTGGAATTGAACATTTGAGTCATCGTTAATTTAAGTAAATTCGTAATTGTATACCTGAGTGGAATTGTTGGCCGGGATTACGGAACTTGAAGAGAAAAGTGTTTAATTAATTTATGATTGCGGGAAAGTAACTCATTTACCTGACACAAATACCCATCTTGAGGGAAATTAATTATGTCAACAAATACAAAACGAGAGAAATAGGCGGGCTGTTGGTTACTTGACGAAAATAAATTTCGGTATTGTTCGTTTTTATTCGTTTTATAATTAGTCGTTGTGGTTGCATCAATGTTTACGTAGCGGGAAAATCAAGGTCGTTATTTAATCAAAATCACAACATCTACAGTCACAATTATCACAATCGCAATCACAAGTTCCACAATCGTTGCAAGCAATGCAACACATATCAAGAATTAGCTTGTCGCAAAAGATGTCACTTCTTGTCGGTTGTTGATCGATGACCTTTTGTTCCTGTAAATGTTTCTTTTGTTCGTCTTCAGGAGTTGTATTTTCAGTTTCGGTATTGGTGTTTTCTGCGTGAGCAACACTGAAATTTGATTTCAAATGTTATGATTGTTTATTTCTGAAATTTTTACCTAAGCAGAAGACCCATTATACGCGTTGGTATAAACAACTATATTAAATATTGGTGGGGCTAGTCTGATGAACTTGATCGAAATGCGACGAAACAAGGTCGTGGCTTGTGTTTTTATGGTGGACTATGTATAAGAAACAAATTGAATTTTTAAGTTTTTTTTTATTTTTTTTTATTTAATTTTACTTATTTTGGTACAAAATTTTATCTGCAAACACTGCAATCACAATCATTAGTCACAATCGCAGTCACAATTTCCACAGTCACAGCCGATAAAACTAATAAATTCGTCGCCACGTTTCGATACTGTATACACGTCTTCAGGCTACAAATTGGCGGTTAGTTTTTTACATAATTGGATAATTTGACCTTACCGAAGAATTTTGTTGTGCGCATAAAGATGATTTTTTGAAAAAACCTACAAGAATTCTCGGCAACATCAAACTCCCTAATTATAACCAAACGTGTCAATAAATAATACCAGGTGAATAAAATGTATGGAACCAAACGCTTTTTTTGCTTAAACTATTTATTTTTTGAAAAAACTAATTGATGAGTGATAAACTACTATAAAAATGTGATGATTTAAAAAGAATAACATTTTTCGAAATTTCCTTTTGTTTTTGAGTTATACAAAAAAAAATATTTTTTTAAATGGCAACCCACTATAAAATCATTTTTCTCATAAAAGCTATACTCTAAGGATTACAACTATCTGCTTTATATTTAATTTTTTCACATAAATTGCAACTTTGACAAAGAAAAATCGCATAACTCAAAAACAAAACAAAATTTCGTTCTGAAAATACGATCACATTTTTTATATTACTTTAATTTATATTAATTATTATTTTCTGGAGGCAAATGATTAAAAATAAAAACGCTTGGTTCCATACTTTATATTCACCCTGTATAAAATATATGTAAAAATACATTTGTCAGACGACACATTAAATTATACACGTTAAAATGGTTGCAAACGGACAAAACAAACATTATTGTGGAAACGAACTTAACCCTATTTTTAATTATTAAGAAAAATATCACAGATTATTTATTATGTTTTAAACTAGTTTGGTAATTATCACAGATTACGAGGTGTTCTTTTTAGGAAATAATTATCACCGATTATGAGTTGTTATTTTATTTTTTAACATTAAGAAATATACAGGGTGATTCTTTTAGAGGCTACATTAGAAACTTTTTAACTTCTAATGCAGGTAGGAATTTGAAATTTTGTACACAACCCAAATCGGCCAGTCTAAGTTCAATTAAATTATTTTCAAAATGGCTGAACTTCCGGAACTACGAAAAATTGGCGCCAACTTTAAAATTTTAAATGGTTTTCCCACTATCGCAGAATAGATAAAATTACAAAAGTTGGTATAGCTGATAACCTTTAAACACCTAAACAAATTCAAAGATCAGTTGTTGAAATTTTTAATCATGTGCGTCTTAAACGGCAAAACAATTTTAATTTTGATTCATATTCATATTTGAATTCAACAAATTGTTGCAATATGTATAATGAGTTGCGGCAAAAAAGTTCGTAAATAATTCTCTCGTGAATAACCCTATATGGAAAAAACGCAAGAGACCTCTTTTTGTCAAAAACTATGGAATTTAGAATTTTGTTGCTGAAAGTGGCAAGAACCAACGGCCAATTAGGGTACTTTTTACCTTAAACCCCCCATTTTATCTTTGAATTCGTTTGGGTGTATAAAGGTTATCAGTTGTACCAAATTTTGTAGTTTTATCTACAATGTTTTCCAAAATATTGCAAAAAATCTATTAAAAGATTCAGGGGATGTAGCTCCCTTATCTAATATTATAATAAACTTTTATCATAAAATTGAATATTCTATCACCTGTTTAAATTTGTAAGAATAAAAAGGGAATACCCTGTATATTCAAATATTAAATAATGAAATAGTTGTAGTTCCACGAAAAATAGTTCGTTAAAATACACACACAGCGATGTGACTTGTGTTTTCATGGTGGACTATGTAGAAGAAACAAACTGAATTTTAAAGTTTTTTTTAATTTTTTTTTATTTAATTTTAATTTTGTGCTTATTTTGATACAAGATTTTATCTGCAAACTTAGACACTGCAATCACAATCACCACAATCACAATCTCCGCACTCGCAGTCACAACCTCCACAATCGCAATCGCAATCACAACCCCCACAATCGCAGTCACAATTTCCACAGTTACAGCAACAACAATAATCACAATCGCCGTTGTGGTGATAATGATGATGATGATCGGGTGTAATGCAAAATATACAGCATGTTCCACAATCATCGTCATGGTAATAGTGAGAACGAGTTGGCTGTTGATCGATCACTGGTTGTTGTTGTCGACGTCTTCTTTCTTCTTCATCTTGCATATTATTTAATTCGATGGATGTCGGCTAGAATTTAAAATTGTTTAATGGAAAAATGAGTTGGGTTTCAAAATCTTACTGCTGTTAGTGATGGGTTGACATTGTCATCTGCAATTGCGCTATTTTTATTAATTAAGTAATTAAAATTGTAATTTTGTTTAATACCTTACTAAAAGCCCCATTTTAAGGGTGTTTTCTTGGTTAAAATGAAACAAGATTACGTCGAAGATGGTATTATAGGAACCAGGAAAAAAACTATTAAATTCGTCGCGACGTTTCGATACTTTATCGGATTGTCTATTTACTCAGAATACTGTTTTATTTAATGTTAGGGGAAGGATATCAACGATAAAAAAGATTTGTTAAAGAATAAATAAGAATTTAAAGATTACCGATATCGTCTCTTATCATTTTTATTTTCGTTATCGTATAAGGAAAGTATTGTAATCGGCTGAAATTTGTCCTACCCAGATTTTTACATTTCTGAACGAATCATAGCTTCAAAACACCAAAAAAGTTGGTTTGAGCCATTGGGTCGTGTGTGTGTGGATATAAGGGAAGTCGTGTGATGTTCACACCAGATTTTTAACTAAATGAATGATAGTTTTTCACACTTTTTTAATCATAATAATCATAGACTTTTTTCAAATGAAGAGGACAAATCGTCTTCCAAATTAATTTTTTTACAAAATGAACAACATAGTCAGAAAAAAGGATTTTTTTTTGTTTTTTGGATTCTTGGATGTAGACTTTTAAAACAATGTTTTCACGCTAAACTTTTCAAACTTTTTATTAGTCGATTTTGATTAGTTTTAGAAATAAAACGTTTTTTTTGACGAAAACATGCACTTTTTAAAAATTTATTACACAAAAACTAAGACAGTTAGAACAAATTTTCTCTTACTTCTGCAAAGAAGAAAGTACAGAATTTAAAGTTTTGCATTTGTAAAGATTAATAAATAAATTAAGAAGTTTGTTAAAAGTTAAATAATAAAAAAAAAATTAATGGAACACCCTTTTTTTATTTTTGCATCTAATAGACTGATAAATTGTCTATCTAAAAAAAATAAACTTTTAATGTCTAGAATTGATAAATGAAGAGATATTTAACATTCAATATTAATTTTAGCAACAATGGCCATCAATATCTGAGCATTGTTGATACTATGGCAACCATAGTAATTCCACCACGGATCACTTATCCGTTGATTTATCCAGAGATTGTAAAAGTCGTCAAAAATACTGAAATTCAAATTATTTTATTGTAAAAATAAAGAATAATGGATTCAGTTTAACACAAATGTGATTATTAAGTGATATTTCTTCCACCTCTTGTGCAACTGTGCACTTTTTGGCTACTAAAACACTAGTAATTTTTTTGTTTAATGTTTAACGTTAAATATCTTTTTAATTATTGATTATAAACACCTAAAAGTAAATCATTTTAGAAAGACGATTTAATTAATCTTTTAAAGGCAAAAACAATAAATAGGGTGTTGCGTTTAAATTTTTTAAGTTACTTTTAACATATGCCTCCATTTTTTTATCTTTGCAAATGCAAACCACTAAAAAAAATATTACAACCTTATAGTTTGTACCTTTTTCTTTACGGTAATAAAAAAATATTTCTAGATGTCGTAGTTTTTGTGTAATAAAATTTTAAAAAGTGCATGTTTTTGTCAAAAAAAACCGTTTTATTTTTTAAAACTAAGCAAAATAGACTAATAAAAGTTTAACTTAAAAACATTGTCATAAAAATCTACATCCAAAAATACTAAGAAACATATGGTGTTTCATTTTAAAAAACACAAGTTTCTATTGTAACTTATTTTTGAGACACGCTGTATAGTTGAAAATAATTTTAGGCGATGAACTAGATTAGTTTCTATCAATGTCCGATATATTTTTTTAATTTTACCATTTAAAAGGCACTAATGGACTTTTTAATTCGCTGGGACACCTGTTTGTACCATCCATCACTTGACATTTGAAATCAGAAATATGTTGCAACAGAAATTTGTCAAATAAGTTTTGTGAATCACCTGTATAACCTCCGTTTTTTTTTGTCTAACTTACTTTTTTGTGCTTTATAATCATTTTTTTTATTGTGTGTGATATTTAAGATAGAAAAGAAATAATCATAAATATTGTGACGCCTTAAAGGAATAATTAAAAATTATAGATAAGAGAAGATGACGGTTGTATATTTATTTTTTGCAGTGTCATCTTATCTTTTTTTTAATTAAATGATAATCAATTTTCGTTTCGAATAGTTTTATTTTATGTAATTAAAACAATAAAAGCATTAACTCCATAAATAAATAAACAAAAATTTGTAAGGTATCACCCAATTGTAAAACTTGTAGAGCTTGTAGAGCGTTACCCGTCAAGAAGTTTCAACATCTATGGACCCCCTTAAACGATTATTGCAAACATTAAAGAAAACATCACATTCAGATGTAAAAATTCGAGATATGATTCATACATTGATAACACTTAATTAATAACCGATTATTTCGTCATCTTCGTCATCGTAACTGTCCTCGGTGCCCGGCTCTCCGAGAGCGTTGACAAATTCTGAAACTTATTACAGTAAAATTAATTTTATTTAATAAATACACACCGTAGAAGTCTATACGGCCGTCACCATCAACATCGACTTCTTTAATCATATCCTCGACTAAAAAAAAATTAAAATATGTAGTTTGAAGGCGAAAAAACTCACTTTCTTCTTCGGAAAGGTCTTCCCCAAGACACTGCAAAACCGCCCTCAAATCCGACGCCGTGATATACCCTCTATTATGCTTATCAAACACTCTGAACGCATCCCTCAACTCCTTCTCCTCCTCCTCCCGCGAGAGGACATGTTCTGGGTCACCCCCCGCCCCCGCTGACCAAGCAATGCCAACAAACTCCTCAAAACTGACATTTCCGTCACCATCCACGTCCACTTCCTGGAGCATTTGTTGCAATTCTTCAGTTCGTGCGAATTGTCCTAAGGAACGCATCACTCGTCCTAACTCCTCCTTGGTGATGCTTCCATCACCATCCTTGTCGAAGAGTCGGAAAGCTTCTCGAAACTCTTTCATTTGACTCTTGGAGACTTCGGAATGTCGAGCCGAGACGAGACGAGTTGGTGGTTTCGTTTCTTCCATCTTCGTTTCGGTGATGACGACGTCTTCAGGGTCTGTCTGGGTGGTTTGCCGAGTCTGGAATGGTTGAGATAGGTCGTAGGTGGCGTGGCGACGGAAGCACAAAGCCGTGAGGAAGTTTCGCACTTTCATGGTTTTTTGTGAATGGGAAACAAATGATGTGAGAGTGTTGTTGGTGTTATCGTAATGGAGAGGGTGTTGCAGTGACGTAATGCAAACATGGTTTTTGTTTGCTTGTTGCATAAGCAATTAGTTGAATAAATGTTAATCGACTTACCATCAAGTCTTTTATTTGGTTGACTAAAGGAGAAGATGAAAAAAAATTATTCACGGCTGAAAATATTTTGCCTTCAAACTTCGCCACTTTTTTCGGATTTCTTTACGACTCAGAAGGGGAATCTGCAAATAGATTGCGTTTTTAGCATTTTCACGACGTGATTCATTTGTAATAAGATAAAACCGCAACTTGGGTAATTTGTGCTGGGAGTTTTTCAATTATTATGTAAATTTGGGTTTTATTACTGTTTTTCACAACGTATATTGTTTATATGGCCGAAAAATATTGTTTTATGTATGAAAACAAAAACATAATTTGTATAGGTTCTAAAATCACAAACTAGACAATTTTCTGAAACAACAAACGGACCAAAATTATTATTAAAGATTTTGAAAAATTGAATTATTTTGTCAAGATCGCCAATCAGCATTTAATACAAAGTGTCCCAAGAAAACGTGAATAGATTTCGGAACGTGATTTTTAGGACAATCTAGAAAAAAAATTCTATTGACTTATGTCCGGAAATGCTTTCTAAAGGTCTCCACAAATGACAAACTAAAAGTTTTTTTTTAATAATTTATGTAACCTTTTAACAAGGGGCCGTTCACTCCGAAATTAATTTTGGAATGTAATCAGAAATTGCTTGAAGTATTTGGAATTATTGAAATTATCTTTGAATTACTGGAACTATTTATGGAATTATACAGGAGCGCCAGAAGTCGCGCCCCAGAGAAAAATTTCAAGTAAGATAAGATAAGAACATGGAAAAAATTCAATCTGTCAAATTTTTTTGTATATAAAGTCTGTATTTTTTTTTAAATGGAAATTACCAAGTCAAAATTTTGATGAAAAAATTGGTAGCAGCTTGTCTCCATAGCCACAAATTTTGTTTGCTCTTTGTTTTTGTCCCTAGAAATTTTGTTAGAAAATTATGGTTATGTTTTTGAATTGAGATGTTGTCAAAATTTTGACTTTTATGAATCTTGTGTGCCTGTTTGTTCTTTGAAAGCGCTATAATTGAATACCTGAGGTCAGACATCATTACCTAAGGTCTAAAGACAGAATTCAGTGCTAATAATTTTGATAGAAACACACCGCAAGTAATACAATGTTGTGGACAAAAATGAGGTTCTTGCTACAAAAACTTTGAAGAAAAAGGATGTTTATACAGAAAAAAGTTATTTATCAAAAGATACAAGTGGGTATTATGATGATCGGCAATAAATTTTGTGCAATTTATTGAAATGAGTTCAAAGTTGATGCATTTTAGAAATTCTTCTTCAGCTTTAGTTTTAAAATTGATACTTTTTCAACTCGTTCCTCAAAAACGATGCACAAGACACTAATTTAATTGCGTTCTGTCCGAGGTTCTTTCTCATTCTTGTTTATTTTGTATTTTCGTCAATTTTTTGCTAAAAATTAAGAATGTTTAGCAAACCTGCATTACAAATTACGTCTACATTTTAACGAGCCCTTTTTTTAACTTCCTGCTTGCGAACCATTCGTTTTCAAATTTCGAAAAAACTGTTAGTGTACCGAATTTGTTTCTTTTTTGGTGTTTCGTCTCTAAATTTTCTTAGACGATTTTTTGTGTTGACCTTTAATGACATTGTTTTCAAATTAATTAAAAAAACCGGAACTGCCAACTTCCTTTATTAAAATTACCATGAATGAATTTACTAGTGATGCCAACGTTAAGACTGTTTGGCATTTCCATTAAAAAAAAAACAAACATTATGTTTTTTTACAATTATTTAATAAAAGTACAAAAATTACGGAATTATGGAAATTAAATTGGAATTACATGAATTAATTTGGAATTACAAGAACTAATTTAGAATTATAGGAACTAATTTGAAAAAAAAGAATTGCGATGGATTACTATTGGAATTACTGGAA